AGCTCCAGCCGTCTCTCGCTCAGGCTTGTGCGGTGCTGCCACCGGTTCAGCTCATTCCCCTCCCCTGCTACCACTTTTCTAGGATGGTCGCGTACCACCTGCCAGGTGCCAATGTACCACAGGTGGTACCCGTACCACTGGTTGAAAAGCCTTGTTGTAGTGCATTGTGATTTCACATACATATTTAAGGGCAAAGTTTGTGGTGCAATGTTGCATGCTCATTTCATGACATTCAGGGGTCTGGATTCTGCAGACCCCACCTGCTGAGTTAATTAAGTCAGCTACTGCAAGTAAATAAAAAATCAGGCTTCAGTTGCCCATGGAAAAAAACACCTTGTGTGAATACAAAGCACAGGGAAAGATGAACTCGGGAAGAAATATTGGGATCAGGATGATTGCGTCTACAGAGATCCCATGCTGTGTCATGATAATGGCCGACTTAACCATTTGCAGGGCTTCTTACTCAAAATGGAGTCTCCATCTAGCCACTTAGGTGGGCTTAAGTCAGGCTGAATTGTCCCAGCACAGAAGTAGCATTATCTTTCTTGCTACCACATTCCATGCAGATATTGAGACATGGCGGGGAGGCTTGCCAATGATATGGGCCCAGCCTTGGACCCACATCATTCTGATTGGTTTGCCAGGTCTAATTTGGGATCACTTCCTTATCTAATTGCTCCTAATTTTTTTTTTTAAAAAAAAAAATCAAAAGCACCCCAACAGGTTTTAATTGGGCCTATCCTGTGCTCTGGTTGGTAGGTTCTTCAAGGGTGGGGATAAAGGGTGTGTTGAGAAGGGTGAAGCCTTCCATCGCTGGTGATGCATTCCTGTGAATTGGATCTCAGTGCTCGTTCCTCCTTTGACAGCCCAATGTGCCTTAAGGATGTTGTATGAAGGCTGTGGTTGTTGTTGTTGTTAATTGCGAAGTCGTGTCCGACCCATCACGACCCCATGGACGACGTTCCTCCAGGTCTTCCTGTCCTCTACCATCTTCTGGAGCCCATTTAAGTTCACACCTACTGCTTCAGTGACTCCATCCAGCCACCTCATTCTCTGTCGTCCCCTTCTTCTATTGCCCTCAATCTTTCCCAGCATTAGGCCCTTCTCCAGTGAGTCCTTCCTTCTCATTAGGTGGCCAAAGTACCAAATGTTCCTCCCAGCCACCCACCCTGAAACAGCACAGGAACTCTGTGGGGGGGGCGAGAGGCCAAACGTTTGGTTTAGTTCATTTGCAAGAGAAATAAAGAAAAAAAAATCGCCTCCGTTTATGAAATTTTTGATCGGTGGGAGCAGGATTGCATAAACATTGTGCTCGGTTTGCTGGGCAATTGCATAAGTTTCAACGAGAAGATGCAAGACAGACAGAGAGGGAGAGGCAGCTGACATGCCATTTCTTAAACCATAGACGCGCACACGTATTTCTTTGATAGCTGAAGCCGCAAGGAACGGGAAAGGGGACATCTCTGTAGAAACGCGCAGCCCAGGGTCACCATTCTTTCGGGCTTGCCTTTGCATGCCTGGCTGATCATATCTCCCCCCCACACACACCCACAACCACACACACCGCCTCCGCGATTTGGAAAGAAGGAACCCCCCTTCCCTGGGCTCCATTAAAAGTTCAGACTTCGGGAGCCCGTCGCCGGCTTTTGCCGTACTGGCTAGACGTAACGAGGAGGGAGAGAAGGGAGGGAAGAAGAAGGAGGAGGGGACGGATTTCCAGCTCGCCTCAGCTCCCGGTCGGAATCGACCGGAGGGGGGGGAAAGGAAGGCGCGCGCACTGCGACCGTCTGAGCGCGCGCTCGCTCGCGGAAAGCCCTCAGCCGAAGGAACTGAGAAGCGGAGCCGGAGCCTCCCCAGGTAAAAGGGCTCTGTGCAAAAGCCGGTCCGGGCTCTCCTTGTCACTGGGATTTCTCCGCACCCCGCGCGTGCGCACGGAGGTTCTAATGAGGTGACTGGGGGGGGGGGGAGATTCGTTCTAGGGCTGGCTTTCTCCCCTTTTAGTCCCCCTTTTTGGGTGTTTCCGGGGAGTGGGTTGCCTCTGCAATCTAAGAAGCTCCAGAGGATCCCCACAGGGGCTTTGGGACGCCTGGGGTTGATTCCATCGCTCGTTTTATATCCGTAGAAAGTGTCCTCGACTTGCAACCATTCGCTTAGTGACCCAAGTTACGACCGCACTGCAGAAAAGTGACTTATCACTGTCTTTCACACTTACGGCCCTTGCAGCATCCCCGTGGTCACGGGATCAAAATTCAGGCGCTTGGCTACTGACTCATATTTATGACGGTTGCAGCATCCAGGAGTCACGCGATCGGCTTTTGCCACTTTCTGACAAGGAAAGTCACTGGGGAAGCCAAATTCATTTAACAACCGTGTTACTAATTCGACAACTGCAGTGATTCGCTTAACAACTGGCAAGAAAGGTCATAAAGCGGGGCAAAATTCGCTTAACAACTGCCTCGCTTAGCAACAGAAATGTTGGGCTCAATTGTGGTCATGTGTCAAGGACTACCTGTACTTTGGCACCCCTTTTGGCCACAAGTGCTGAGCAGAGCTGATGGCCTGACTCCTTTCATCCCTCATTAGTTAACTTTAGAGATTGGCCGGATGCCGATGGAGTAGTTGAGTAGTAGTGTGCGATAATTGAAAGGAGGATCTGCATTCAGTGATGTAACTTCTTGTATTCAAATTTTTTATTAATTTTCAAATAAACAAGTTACAAATATGGTATACATTAATAAACAAAAGAAAAAAACCCCATATTATGTATCTATTCAGAGATGCTCAGCAGCCCCCCCCTGCCTGCGTCCACCCTCTCTTTCACCCTTCCTACCTACTTCCCTCCTCCTCTCTTCCTCCTTACCTACACCTCTCTCCTCCTCCCTCCTCTCAACTACCCTACACATCGCACCTCCTTTCTTTCCTCATCCTTCGGATGCAGTCTGGGGGCGCCAGCCGAGCATCTCATCTTCTTCAAATACATTATTTCACTATAACATTTTAATATACCAAAATTTACATTTACATCTTGAATCCCCTCCCCCCCTCCCCCCCTGGACTTCCCGGAATCGAATACAGGGTTAGGCACATGTCATCCCAAATCTAAATAAAACTACCCAAACATAATACAATCAAATATTAACATACTTTAACTCTAATGAAAAAAATATCAACTTGAAATAAATATAAATATAAAATATATATAATATAATAATAAAATAAAAACAATATAAAATCTACTCAAAAGCTATATAGTATTTGTTCACTGTAACTTCTGTACCTGGGGGGGGGGAGATTTTTCTTTTTCTTTTTCAAGAAGTCAGATATCTTGGCCAGGATTGAATGATCCTTCAACCACATTGATTTCTCTGTTTTCTGTACTAAAGAAGGCAGTTATCATTTTTAAAAAAAAACTATTCCACCTTTATTATTGTGCAAATAATTCAAGGTGGTGAACATACCTAATACTCCTTCTTCCTATTTTCTCACAACAACAACAACCTTGTGAGGTGGGTTGGGCTGAGAGTGAGTGACTGGCCCAAAGTCACTGGCTTTTATTGAAAGCATGCAAAAAGCAATGGCACCCAGCACTTTGCTGCTACCAAAGGAGAAATTTGCAAAGAAGCAATGCGGTTGCTTCCTCAATTGTAATGTGCAAATAAGTGTGAGCCCTGTAAGCTATATATAGAAAGGCTTCTCTGGTTTAGAAACCATGTCAGAATGCCACAGCTGACGCTAGGCTTGCGGTTAACTCAGTTCCTAATATCTATGGTGTGCCAAAACATCCGCTGGCTTAAAAAAATGGAAGGAGTGGGGCAACAAATATTTGACCATGCGCTTTATATTCTTATGACCTGAAAAAGAAGGGAAGTATAACCGCTTGGTCTTATAATGTAAAGATTAATTTTGGTCGCATCCAAAAGCAGACTTTTGAGGGGTTCTTGGCTCTGTGCTTGGTTGTTTTCTTGCAGACATTTCCATAGCCAAACTAGCACTGATAATGTTACCTAGTTTGGTAAGGAAATGTCTGCAGGAAAACAACCAAGGGCCCCTCACTTCAACCCCTTTTTACTGCCAGCCTGTTGGATTTTTGCTGTTGTTTGGCTTCAGCTAATGAAAACTGTGCTGATTCTTTCAGCTTGCTTAGTTTACAATGGATTAAATGAGAGGACTTACCATTATCTATTTCGAGTTTCTTTATTCTGTGGTCTGCCATACCACTACACACATATACACATACACAAAAGAGACATAAAAAAGCAAGGATAACAGAGATATTTTTACAAACAGGGAGAGCACATTGTCAGAAAAATGAAAAAAAAACTTTTATTCCCTAGTACTGTAAAGCAAATAAATAAAAAAAAAATAACAGTATGGTCATTCAAGCTTTTATAGGTTGTTTTCACTTTTTTTTTTTTTTTTGCTTTGGCCCAGTTTGTAAGATGTTAGTGCAGTGGTTCTCAACCTGTGGGTCGGGACCCCATTTTGGGTCGATCGACCATTTTACGGGGGTCGCCAAGCAAGGTTGTCCGCCATTTTTTTTGTCCACCATTTTTTTCTCCTTTTCCGGCGGGTGCCTTACCTCCCTTGAGCTGGGCCAGCTGGTGGTCGGCCTGCTCTGTCTCTGCCGCTTGCCAGCTACGCCTCGGCCGGCGCAGGGGGCGGAACCACGCATGCATGGCGCTCCCGGGCAGGGAAAGTCCTCGACTTACGACTGGTTGGGTAGTCCTCAACTTATGACCGGTTTAGTCCTCGACTTACAACCGGTTGTCCTCGACTTACGACCAGTTTAGTCCTTGACTTACGACCGGTTGGGGTCGCGGCATTAAAAAGGTTGAGAACCACTGTGTTAGTGTGATATAGAAAATGCTTTGATGAAAATAGCTATCAGGTAAGAAATGATTCCTTGCTGTTAGAATTTTAAAGTCGGCTTTGGAATTTGAATGAGTATTTTTGTCTTTTCAGAAAAGAAAACAGAAAAACAATGAATACATATATATTCAGCTATTATTTATTTCAGTTTTGTGGACATTCATGGATATTTACCAATATGATCATCAGATTCCTTTCATTTGGGGAAGGTAGGCTCATGTCATACATTTTCCATTTTGCTAAAGCTTGCTAATAAATCAAGTATTAACTGAAGTAGATCTAACAGTGATATTGTTTCAGAAATTTGGACTTGAGAAGTCTAAAACTCTTTTTCACGCATATATAATATGCATGAGTTAAATTCCCCGCTCAGGCAAAAAAAATGTAAGGGAACCATTGTATTTATATTTTTCTTCACTGAGAAGCTATTATGAAATAAAAAATGGTGACAATAGAACTACAAAATCAGTCCAAATCTGTTTCCTGGATGTTATTTCTCAAAATAACAATCAGGAAACCATGGTTTATTTATTTTTAAATATCCACTTATCCCTCTGATGATCGTCTCCTCATGCTTTTCTTTGAATTCATGAGAAAAATGGCTATCAAAATGACAGCCTGACCAAGGAATCAAGTCCTGCCCCTTTTAAAATTGTGCTTTATAATGTGTTGCACACAAAGGGGTGAGGTGAAGTGCTCTGTCATGCCTGCCATTTTGAAATTATTGATCCCTTCGCTTACAGATAACCCTGGAGAAAAAGACGTAGGCACTATGGGCCTAATCATTTCTTTAAGGCAGTGTTTCCTTCAGACCCTTATTTTCGACTTCCTGGTGTGGAACTGAGGACTGAAGGTGAATCATAAACATTAGCCTAAATGCAAGTGCAGTTGTGCTCCCAGTTGAGACCCATCTATTTTTTGCCCTTATGCATTCAGATGGTTGTGTGAAATAGGGTTGGTTTAATCCCAGTTTCTGGAAAGCGGGAAGATTTTCAAAAATAAAGAACCACTATTAAAGACTAAAAAAAGCAGACATCACCCTGCCAACAAAAATGCGTATAGTCAAGGCCATGGTTTTCCCAGTTGCAATATATGGATGTGAAAGTTGGACCATAAGAAAGGCTGAGCAAAAAAGAATTGAGGCCTTTGAATTACGGTGCTGGAGAAGGCTCCCGCGAGTCCCTTGGATTGCAAGGCATTCAAACCGGTCAGTCCTAGAAGTAGAACCCCGACTACTCTTTAGAAGGCCAGATTCTGAAGCTGAAACTCAAGTACTTTGGCCACCTAATGAGAAGGAAGGACTCACTGGAGAAGAGCCTAATGCTGGGAAAGATTGAGGGCAATAGAAGAAGGGACAACAGAGAATGAGGTGGCTGGCTGGAGTCACTGAGGCAGTAGGAGTGAGCTTAAATGGACTCCAGAAGATGGTAGAGGACAGGAAGGCCTGGAGGAACGTCGTCCATGGGGTCGCGATGGGTCAGACACGACTTCGCAATTAACAACAACATTAAAGACTAAGGCAAAGGTGCTCTAACTCCACAGTGTAAAATGATAAATGAAGATGTGTTCTTATGAATAAAACCAAACTATGAATATGAAACTATGAATAGAATGGGTGGCGTGGTGGCTCAGCAGTTAAAATGCTGAGCTTCTCTTCTGGAAAGCTGGTAGCTCATGTTTAAGACCCAAGCGCCACATGACGGGTGAGGTCCTGTCCTCGCCCCAGCGCCTGCCAACCTAGCAGTTTGACACCTTGGAAATGCGAGTAGATAAATAAGTGTTGTGATTCCTTGCCAGCCAGTGGATCCGGCAGCCGAGTCTGAGGACTCAGATGAGGAGGAGGGGCCTGGAGTGACATTGGAGTCTGAGAAAGGCTCTGAGGAGCACCAGGACTCACAGTCAGACGAGGAGCCCGGCCCCTCTACTCACGTTCGGGCAGAGACATAGCAGCTTTGGAAGCCTGAGTTGGGCGACGATGAGGAACAGCTGGGGCCAATCCCAATGCACGGATGCGCAGAGAGGAGAAGCGAGCAAGGCAGAGAAAGGCAGCGGGGCAGCTCCAGAGGCAAAAGAAAAATCATTAAGAAGCCACACCTTGGCTGGACTATAAAAGGGGGAGGTGTGGGAGGTGCTGGTTGCCAAAGGCAACCATTCCCGCTGCGGCTTCATGTTTTTGTTGATTGTGTTGCTTGCCTCCGAAGTCTTGGACATTGAGTCAGGTATGTAAAAAATAAAAGGGGTTTGTTTTTCTTGGGTGTCCTGCCTGGTTCCATGAAGAGGGGTTCCTCCTCATGAGTAAAGCAGTTGAGCAAGTACTCGCGTAGGCTGGGACAGAACAATAAGTACCACTTCAGTGGAAAGGAATTGCTCCGTGATGTCCTGCTGGCCACATGACCATGGAAACATCTTTGGACAGTGCTGGCTCAATGGCCTTGAAACAGAGATGAGCACTGTCCCCTAGAGTTGGCAACAACTAGTGGAGTAAAATCCATAGGGACTCCTTTACTTTTTTTATGAATAGAACTAGTATGATTGGCAGGTAGTTTTGGCCAATAGCTATTAGCCATTTCTCAAAACTCACTTCAGGTTTTGCTCTCCATATTAAGGTAGATAGATATAGGATGGATGGATGGATATAGATAGGTAGGTAGGTAGGTAGACAGACAGACAGATAGATACTGCTTATAATTTTCTATTATGATCTCAGTTTGAAAAAAATGTTTATTAGAGAAATAGCTACTGTGCGAACCAACAACCTGGTTAAGACAGTGCAAATATTCCATTTGTATGAGTACAGTGTAGGTATTTTGTCTGTGTGTGTTTTATATTTTTGCCAATTTCAATTATCCAAACCTGAGCCCTTTTCTAAGCGATTCTGAATGGAAATAAGATTTTCTTTAAAAAAAAACAACACACAAATTGCCCCCATATTTTTACAATACATGTTATTGACAATGAACAGTTTTAATTATGCAGGGATTGGTGGAAGGAAGTTCTTCTCTTACATGTTTTTTTTTACTTTTCATTCCCTTTTCAGTTTTAGAATCCCCCAAGTCTCCTAATATCTCATATTAAATAATAGTGTTATTTTAGTAACATTATTATTTAATATGAGAATATCCAAGCAGGCTTGACATCTCCCAGTTGCAGTCGACTTTTAGCAAGATTAACTTAGTTTTTTTTTTCCCTTTAAAACTCAGTTTTCTGCATGTGCAAGTTTATGCAATTCTGAAGCAATTAGTATAGCTTTTCCAGTAAAACTCAGACAATTAATCATCTAGGGACTTTTTTTTTAACCTTTTAATTCCTAACACATTGCATATGCCTAAACCATTTAGTTTAATCAACTGATCAAAGTTGATTAAGATTATTGGGAAAAGAGAGAGATTGTAAGTAATTATAACTGACTGTTCACTTCCTATATAATAGAAATGACATCAGCCCAATCCAGCTAAAGTAAATCATGACCAAGTTACATTATATGCACATTAATCAAATGGATTAAAGGCCCAGTGAAGAACAATTGCTGGGAGACCCAGGATCTGAAAACCCTATAGCTTTTAATTGCACTGGAAAAGCTTTGAGCTCATTTCTAGAACATGTGGAATTTATTATTCTGAGGAAAGCCTAACATTTTGCATCTGAAAACGCAGAGGAAATGATCACTCCATAATCAAGTATGGATACAGCAATAAATCAAGTCCAGCAAAAGAGCTATATTGAATAATGATTTATTATTTTTAATTGACCTTACATGAATATAGCCTACATAAAACTGAACTAGATTAGGAAGCACAGCAGCACAAATGTAACTACAGATTAACACAATGATTTGTTATTAAAAGAAAGAAAAAAGAGACAATAGAAGTATAGCCCTTTTTTGGAGAGGAGAATAATTCAAGTTAAAATTTCCTGGAAATTTAATTAATAAATTTGGCCATGAATTAATTTTCCAAACTGTCACCAAATTAAATGCCATGTATTCTACGGGCCCATGTTCCACAGACACGATTGCCACATTTCATCTATTCTCCTTTGAAAAACCTTGTGAAAAAATTTTTGCACAGTATTCTCTGTGCCAAAACATAAAGACAAATCATCCAAATCTTCAGGAATTATTATTTATGTACTTATAGGACAGTGGTGGCGAACCTATGGCACGGGTGCCAGAGGCGGCACTCAGAGCCCTCTCTGTGGGCACACGCGCCGTTGCCCCAGTCCTAGGCCTTCAGCTGGGTTTTATAAAACCTTTTCACTTTAGGCCTCCGCTGTGTACAAAAAAAAAAAAAGTTTCAATCAATCAAGTCAATTTCAACTTCTCGTGGAAAAAAAAAAGATCTTGCAAAGTTGGAATTGATTGAACTTTTTAGTCCCACCCAATCTGCCGTTATCACCGCAGCCACGCCCACCCAATGGGCCACACCCACCCAATGGGCCACACCCACCTGGCATCCGACGATGCATAAGTGGGTTTTGGGTTGCAGTTTGGGCACTCGGTCTCTAAAAGGTTCACCATCACTGGTATAGGAAATCTTCAAAAATCTTTAATGCCAGTATCGGAAAATGTTCAAGCGTTAACTTCCTGTCAGTGGGAAGAGGGACGACTGTGACAAAGGGAGTGTCCTAAAAATTTAAACAAATGTTTCTTATTTCTCCTCTTGCATCTGTAGATTCTGTTGCAGATACTTTTCATTCTATTGGGCTGGTGATGCGTATTTGCCAGCTAGCATCCATACTAGAGCTTCTGCATATTTGGTCTGGCATTGAGAAGGATCAGTTTTTTCCAAGATTCTTACAGGTATGGGCAAATTATCATCATATTAAAGAAGATTAGGGCTTTGATATTTGGAATTAGGTCTCCTGTGGTTGGTTTTTATTGTTCACTAAAATCCCACAGCAGATACGTGTGATAAACAGAACAAACCCAACTTGGAAAGTCAATCGGAGGAAGCTCATATATGACTATTTATTCACCATATGACCCCTGCAAAGCTATCTGTGTGCAGGTCCGAGGTTATATAGTACCTGAAAGTTGCCTCTGACATGCAGTTTATGTTGCCTCTAACTGAAGGAATTAGGAGGTGTTGGCTTTTTTTTTTATTACTATGTGGGAAAAATAATTGAATTAATTTCAACCACTCTGTAAAAATAGTAAACTTATCTAGGAATCCAGATATGTATATTATTCATTCGAGTGTCATATCCAAACGGAGTGATTGTGTATTTCCCCTCAAAAGCATGTAATTGCTAATTGCATATGAATTTCAGGTTACAGACCTTCTCATTTAGTTTAGCTCCTGTCCTTGGATCAGGGAGGGGGACTCTCTACTTTCTCCAGATGTTGCTGGAATCTGGTTCCCATCGTACCTAAATACTGAATGAGCTAAGCTTATCACAGAATCGTGCAGCCAGCTTTTTAGTGTTTCAGATCTTCTATGGAGATTCTCAATCATCCAGGCCCCAAAGGTGCTTTTTCACAAGGCAACTGGGCTTCCTTGTTTTTCTTTGAAGATGTTTCGCTTCTCCTTCAAGAAGCTTCTTCAGCTCTCTCTCAGCCATCCAGGTCAGGGTTGTCCCAAAGGTGCTTTTTCAAAAGGCAACTCGACTTCCTTGTTTTTCTTTGAAGATGTTTTGCTTCTCATCCAAGAAGCTTCGTGGAAAAAAAGCACCTCTGGATGTTTCAGATCTTGTTCTTGCCAACCTTCAGTCTTTGTGGCTAATAATACAGGTAGTCCTCGACTTACAACAGTTCACTTAGGGACTGTTCAAAGCTACAACCGCACTGAAAGAAGTGACGTATGATCATTGCAGCATCCCCATGGTCACATGGTTTACATTCAGATGCTTGACAACTGACTCACATTTATGACGGTTGCAGTATCCCGGGGTCAGGTGATCCACTTTTGCAACCTTCTGACAAGCAAAGTGAATGGGGAAGCCAGATTCACTTAATGAGCGTGTTACTAATTGGACAACTGCAGTGATACCCTTAACAAATCAAGAAAAGTGGTAAAATGAGGCAAAAAGTCGTTTGGCAACTTTCTCATTTAGCAACATAAATGATGGATTCAATTGTGGTCATAAGTTGAGGACTACCTGTATTTTGAATTATATAATAAATGAAGATACAATAGATTTGTACAAAGATTTTGGCCATTGCTGCAATAAGCCACTGGTTGTTCTGTATACCTTCAAATTATCCTGAAAGTCCTGGCTAAATAACACACTGCTTAATTACAGCGATCAAAAATTACCAGGAAGGAACACATAACAGGATATCCATTCCGATAACCATTATCCGAGCAAAAATGAATGAAGAATAATGGATCTAACACTGTGAAATTATGGCTGTCTACCTCTCATGCCTTTTTCTGTCAGGTTGCCTGGAGGGTACAATTGCTTTTACTAGAGGTCCTAATTGACTAGATGCCCATAGTTGCATACAATTAAGTTAAGGGATACACATGGCCCTAGAGGCCATAGGTTGCCACCTCTGCCCCAATCAAGTCAAACCAGCGCTCAAAAAATGGTTGTTTTGCAAAACAGTCTATTTTGAATCTCAAAAGACCCATGCAAAAGAAAAGGGGCATAAGTCAAAGAACAGAATTTGGAATGATTTTTTTTTTTTTTTAGAAAAATAGGTTAACTAGTGGAAAAGAAAGGGAGAGATACAAATGGACTAGAATAAAGGTTTTGCATTCCTTCAACAGAATTTGAGAAAATGAATTTGTAGGACAAATAAGAAAGTTAGCATAATCAATATTCCACACAAGTGCCTAAGATAACGACATTTTAAAGGTAATTTTAAAATTTTTTTTGTTTTTCTTTAGCATGAAGAATTTCTCAGTGTTGTCAGCTTACATTTCAGCCTAGGCTTCTGATTATACCCTGGATGAAAAGGTGGCCATAATAAACAAAAAGCTTAGTAAGAAACATAAAGCTCAGACTGTGCTTACTCCCAAGTAGCACACATTGAATTCAGTGAGATGGACAACATAATCTTATGGATATCTACTTAGACTACAATAGAAAGATGCACTGTGGAATGACCTATTCACTACATAGGTAGGGAATTGTAAACTTCAGTTTTTTTTACTTGGGAAACATAATTTTTGACCTTTATGAGATTTACTTTTGACATTTTTAGGATTGCACTGTTAAATATTTTTCTCTGCATATATCCCCCACAGAACCCCTTTTTTACTAGAACTCATAGTAACAGAGAGCTTAGAAATGAAAATGAATTGGGTTTAGATCTGAATTCTGGATACCATTTTAATGTGCTCATTGAAAAATATCTGTAATAAAAGTGCTCTGCTCGCAGTGGATCAGAATTTTGGAAGAAATCTTGATGAGAAATACGATTAGAAGACAATCAAAACCTTTAGCAAATTTTATAAAAGCTGCCATTACCATCGTCAGTACATCTATATAAACTAAACCTGCATCACTTTTCTCATTAAAACTGCACAAACCATCTTCTAATACATGGATAGGCAAGGTAATGCTCACCATATATTTTGAATTTCACTACTTATTAGCTCATGGCTATTCTGACAAATAGCAATTCATTATTATGTTTGGAATTCAAAATATATGCAGGGCAGAAGTTAGCTATTCCTGGCATAATGTTTGGGCTCAGTCTATCAACTCCATCTTGCAAGTAGTATCACAATCATGTTTTCTTGCAACATTCCACTCTCAGCTATGCTTCTTGGCAGGTAGAATCTGATAGTGTTACTGCGTGGATGAAGGGCATGATTCATTGTGATTATTTTTCTAGTCCTTACGCACAGATCCAGGCTGTGTGGTCTTTTGTAATTGACAGATTTGGAAATTTTGTTAATATGTAGATTTTCTAAGTACGGTCTAAGGCTTTTTGGTATGGCACCCACTGGCATTATGGTTTATGCCATAATCTTTCAACTTTGATTTTTAGATCTTGATACCTTGTGGTCGTCTCCAATTCTTTATCTATTTTTCTACTCTACCGTGCCTTGGTATTGCCACATCAATTATTCACTTTCTTTTTTTCAACCACAGTTAAATCTTGTGTTATGAGCCAAGATGTTATCGGTACATATTAGAAATTTCACAATATTTTAACCTGTTCTTTTTTTTAACTACTTTTTCAACTATATATTCTCACCAATTTTACATTATTGGCACATGATTGTTTTAACAGATGTTCCAGTGAATCATTTTGATGACACTGCAGTGTCATTGTTTATAATCAGTTTGTACAATTTTCTTGCATGAACTGAGTCTATGATCTGAATATGTAATGAATATCATTCATTCAGTGCTATTATAACTTCTAACCGTCATCAACAAGTGATCAGCAAGCAATGACTATAACATTGAACATTTTGTTCAGTAATTCAAGACAGGATACATCATATTTCCACTTCCAGTTTTCCCCCCACAAAAAATTGTGGTGTTGATTAGACTGTTACATACTGACTGATCTAAAGTCTCTCTGTGACTTTTCATAATTGAAGGTGAACTGTAACCTGAATTCCTAGTTTCTGTCATCACTCCCTTTAAAAATGAGATCTTTGTGGGTTAATCAGATTAGAATTGTGTCTGGACATGACACACATTGAATAAATTGCATTTTTCATGGTGGTGGGGAGATGGGAAGGCTACAGGGGAAAGTCTTTCTTGTTAGAACAGAATGTGAACAGAATTTCCTAAGCAGGCTGGGATTTGAAACACACACAGTTTTTCTAATTGTTGTATTAATTGTGGCCCATTACTTGATTTAGGTATTTGCTGTTGCACTGAATAAGCCACAGAATAGCCCCTCAGAAACCTGAATGTCTGTTTAGAAATTGGGAAATAGGGTATACTGTAAAGGTAGAGAACAATAGTACAAATGAAAAAGAAGGCATCTGTGTGTACATTTTATAAAATGGTGGCATGACTTTTCAGTTTCTGACATCTGATTATAGAAAACGGGATATGGAATTTGGATTTCAGTCTGACTTTTTTAAAAAATGAAAACCAATAAAATACGAAATGAAAATGAGCAATTTCAAAAAATTATCTACAGGTAGTCATTGTTTTACAATTGGGACCAGTAACTCGGTAAGCGAAGCTAACTGGGAAATCACATGTCCTCAGCTGTGTTTTCCTTTTCTTCACTCCCCTGCCCTTATTCTAGTGAAATGGTTGCTAAGTGAAATATCATGATTTTATTATCTTACTTTAGCTTTCCTTTGTTTTACAGACCTATGAAGGTCATAAATGCAAGGACTGGTTGAAAAAGTACTTTTTCATCACCATCTTAACTGCAAACAGTTGCTAAACCATACAATTAGTAAGCAAGGATTACCTGTATATGCTTAACTAAAGACTAGTGCTTCATCCCGGTTTTAATCTGTAGCCAAACTTAATTCCAGTTTGCATAAAATAAGTCATCTTCGCGCTGTATTCATATGCTCAAGGTTCTGCAAACCCCCTACACATTTTATTTAATGGCAACTGCATTGTTTGGAAATTTAGTGAGCGGGCAAACAGTACTACTTATTAATGGATAATAGTCTACTTTGCAAACTACAGTATTGTGTTTCCTAAGTTAAGATAGCAGAAGCATTTAATGTCAAAATCGAAATACAGAATTTAGTGGAAAAGTGCATTTTATTGTTTTAATATTTAATGCATCGTGTGCTGCAGCTGTGTTTCCATACTATTCTGATTAGACAAACATATTTTAATTTAATGTGGTATGCGAATGTAGCCTCAGTACTTATCAATATGTCAAACCCAGAAAATTAAGACGAGTAAAAAACTTAATTAAGTGACTTAAGTTATATCACATAACTGCAGCCTGCCTTTACCATAGTTGAAAATGGTCTCTCCTGTGGCCACTTTTATCACATTGATAGTCCAAAGAGAACAAATTGAGAAAAACTTATTTTACTTTTTCCAGATCACAGAAAGAATTGTCATCTTATTTGTTGCCATAGCAAGTCAAGAAGAAGTTCAAGGGAAAGGCATTGTATGTGTCTTGTTTTTCCTTTGGAGTTGCATTGATGTCATCAGGTGAGAATTTAATGCCACTCCTGTGGAAACGCAGCCAAGAAGTTTCCCTTATTTATCTTCCCTGTATGGAATTCACTGTTATTATCTGGGAGGCTTTCTTTGTAACATAGCTCAGAAGATAAGGATGTGCATTCTCTTACCCATAAACATTCAACCTTTCTGGCTGTAGATCATGTATTCTCCTCTTTTTATGGAACATTATAAATAGAAAGCAATAACCAGAATAGTAGAATCCAAGATTTTGATAATATCACAGAATATCCAGAACATCAGAATACTCCAAACACATTATTAATGTGTTTAGATTGTTGAATTCCTGAGAATTGAGGCAACACAAAGACATTGTATGATTCAGTGAGCAAAAATGTAAGCAAGCTAGTTTCTCGAGGTTCCTGCAATTTATTGGAGCCAATAAAAAACAGAAGGTCAGTGCTGATTAATTCTGATTTCTGTGAAACCTAGCAAGAGTTGACTAATCAAATCATCCTTCCCAAATCTGTTTTTACTTATTCAATTCAGTCGGGCAAGTTGGGGATGCTGCAGGTCCCATCTGCCAAGGAATGTCAGCTGGTGAGAACCAGGAGTTTTACCTTCTCAGTCATAGGTCCCAGCCCTCTGGAATATTCTGCCTTTGATATCGGGATGAGTCCTAATCCTGTTGGCCTTTCATAAGGCTATGAAGACAGGATTGTGAACCTGAGCCTGGGCCCCCGAATATGTTAAGAGCTCTGTTTTTTGGTTCTATTAACATCCATAGATGAGAAGGAAGGACTCACTGGAGAAGAGTCTAATGCTGGGAAAGATTGAGGGCAATAGAGAAGAAGGGGATGACAGAGGTGGCTGGATGGAGTCACTGAAGCAGTAGGTATGAGCTTAAATAGATTCCAGAAGATGGTAGAGGACAGGAAGGCCTGGAGGAACATTGTCCATGGGGTCGTGATGGGTCGGACACGACTTCGCAACAACAAATATTTATTTTGTAGTGTTTTAATTGTCCTAATACGTCACCCAGGATTACTTGTTCAGATGGGTGGTGAAAGGAAAGAAAGAAAGAAAGAAAGAAAGAAAGAAAGAAAGAAAGAAAGAAAGAAAGAAAGAAAGAAAGAAAGAAAGAAAGAAAGAAAGAAAGAAAGAAAGAAAGAAAGATACTCTTGGCCAGGATTCAGATACAGTCATTTGATCATTCCCAGTAGCAGTCTTCTGAGTTGGAACAAGGACAGTTATAACACAACTGCAGGGAACCTGGGTTCTGAAGGCTGCATGGGATTCATCTGCCCCATAAGCAGCCACTCCTAATCATAATGATGCCATATGCATTATTTGTTTGATAACACGGCACACGTGACGGGATTCCCCTGCTCTGTTTTTCCTTCTAGATACACACACTGCATACTATTGGAGAGAGGGATATACTTTCAAGGACTAGCTTGGCTCTATCATTCACTGTGGATTCCTTTCTATCCTCTCTCAGTTTTGGCTCAAGGTAAGTGGAGGAAGAGACTATAATTTCTGAAATCGCAATTCTGCGCAAGTAATCCTCACTTAGTGGCCCTAATTGGGACCAGAATTTCCATCGCTCAGCAGAGCGATCATTAAGTGACATACCATGTGACCGCAAGGCGCCTGAAGGCAGGACGAGAAACAATGGGTGGAAACTAACCAAGGAGAGAAGCAACCTAGAACTAAGGAGAAACTTCCTGACAGTGGATGTTAGATGGGGACCATACTGTCATTATGTGAGGACCTCATGCTTCTCCTGCCCTGCTGTGCTTGCCTCTACTTCAACATCCCCCCCCCCCGCCTACGCAGCCCATCTCTGCCCTTTTGAGCACTCTGCACTCCACTCTTGTTGCAAATGATGCATTCCTAGCTGAGGCAGCTGCTGGCCCTTCGTGCAAACTTGTGAAGAGTCAGCTGAGGGTGGCAGGAGTAGGTGATGATAGCGTGCAGGACAGCCTGCAAAGGGTGAGATGTGGGGTGAGATGTGTGTGGGGCGAGTTAAAGCACATGCTGTGGTTTTTTTGTAAATGTGGGTGGTCTGCCAGGCACCCAGATGACCACAGGGTGCTTTGATGATGTGTAACTCTGGGGACTGGTTGTAACTACTTTCAGTGCTATTGTAACTTGAAATAGTTCTTAAACAAAGACTACCTGCATATGCTTAATTAGGAATCAGTTTCATTGGATCATTCTCCAAGGCGCCTGAAGGCAGGACGAGAAACAATGGGTGGAAACTAACCAAGGAGAGAAGCAACCTAGAACTAAGGAGAAACTTCCTGACAGTTAGAACAATTAATCAGTGGAACAACCTGCTTCCAGAAGCTGTGAATCCTCCAACACTGGAAGTTTTTAAGAAGAGACTGGACAGCCGTTTGTCTGAAATGGTGTAGGGTTCCTGCCTGGGCAGGGGGTTGGACTCGATGACCTCCAAGGTCCCTTCCAACTTTATTATTATTATTATTATTATTATTATTATTATTATTATTATTATTATTATTATTATTATTATTNAGGGAATAATCGTTCAAATCAGCTTCAGTTTTTTAAGGCAAAACAGATCCAATCTGTTCTCCAATCTTGGCAACTTTAAGACTTGTGAACTTCAACTTGGGAAATTCTGGGAGTTGGTCCACAAGTCTTAAAGTTACCAAGGCTGGACACTCCTGGGGCAGAAGAAAGGACAACTTGTGCTCTTCCAGATGTACTGAACCACAACTCCCAGCATCGGTAACTATTGGCTATACCAGGGGTAGGCAACCTTGGCTCTTTTATGACTTGTGGACTTCAACTCCCAGAATTCCTGAGCCAGCATGGCTCAGCTTGAAAGCCTCTCCCTTTCCCCTCAGCATGGCTGGCTCAGGAATTCTGGGAGTTGAAGTCCACGAGTCATAAAAGAGCCAAGGTTGCCTACCCCTGGGCTATACCATATAAGGCTGATGAAAATTGGGATCCCATCTAATCTGGAGATTACCCACTCCTGCTCTATAATAAAAACTTATAATTGTGAATCTCTAGTCCTGGTTGAAGCTTGAGCCTAACCTGTATCCATATTAATTGAATGTATTGCACAGAACTGAGACATTTTTTGCGTATTTGGAATTTTTCACTTGGCTGGTTTTTTCTTCTTTTTTCTCCCCCAGCATTTGCCATATATGAATCGTTGCCTCACTTTGAAACCTCAGGCACTTACTCCATCCGAATACTCTTTCCATTGGATCTAACTGTTTACTTTCCCTACGTACTGAAAATGTACATGGCAATATTGTTTGGTGGTAAGTTCTTTTATTTCTTAGCAAATGCACCAGAGGAGATTATCTGTAGCGCATTGGCAGGATTGGGGATTAAGCTCCCATCCCTCACTGGGGGGAGCCTGACTGGTACAGGAAATTATTCACACAATTCATTATACCAGTATAGAGTCTAGAGGTATTCATCACAGTTACATCAGATCCCTGTCAAACATAATACCAGTGGTGGCGAACCTATGGCACGGATGCCAGAGACGGCACTCAGAGCCCTCTCTGTGGGCACACGTGCCGTTGCCCCAGCCTTGCCTCCCCCTGCGACCCCCTCCTCTCCAGCAGCCCCCCTGAAGGAGAGTCGCCCTCGAGCATGGCCCACACGGAGCAGCGCAGCCAAAGACATGGCAGCCAGGCAGCGTAGACAAGACTCTGCCCTCACCCCCCATCATGCAGTTGATGCCACAGAGCGTGGGCAGAGGATGTGGCCGCCATATCGCTGCTGGGCTGCCTGGGCGATCTGCAGCGGGCAGTGAGTGGTCCTGTGGGCAGGCGGGACGGGATGGGGGGCAGAGCAAGGGCGGGGCAGGGGGTGGAGCGGGGCGGGGCCAGTTTTGGGGCACTCGGTCTCTAAAAGGTTCGCCATCACTGCTATATACTAACTCTGAAACAGCTATAAACAGATGGGTACAGTATAGTATTAATGCAAAGCTCTCATCAGCCAGAGTGTGTTTCCCACAGATACTGAATCCCTATTTGTTTAAATAATTTAAATGACAATATATTGCTTAATTGTCAGAAGTGCGCTACTCTTGTCATTTTGCATGTCTAGCTATTTGGAGATATGTACACTTACACATGTACAGTTACACATGTACAGTTCAGAACACAATATTGCCCAACATATCTGAATGGTCAAACGGATGGAGGGCAACCTTGTCCTGCTCTAATGACGGTTTTCTTAACACCATTTCAAGCAATTTCCTTCTTCATTTTGGCATTCCTCATATACAGATTTTAGTTTTTCTGAAGATATTAAACCATAGGGAACAAGGAATCTTGAGAGGCTAAGCAAAGATTCCTGTGGCTGCCGAATCAGAAAAATGTGCTAAATTAGTTTTAAAATATAAGTTGCGGTAGGTTAAATAAATAAATCCAATCACTTTAAAGTAAATATATTTGAACAACTTTAAGGTCTGAGGATTTCGGAGACTATTATTTTATAAGAGTAATGCTATTATGTACTTTACGTTTCTTTTTTTTTCTTTTTATGTTTCAAACATGCTGTGGTTTGGGTTTAGGTGCCTATTTCATTGTTCAGTATCTTTATATGGAGCGGAAGACTCATCTAAGAAGCAGCAACATCAAAGAGAAAAGCAGCTAACTCATGTTTTTGGTGGGAAATGACGAATTTCACCTCTTATGAAACAGCCTTTGTGACAATTACTAATATTTCAAGATCTAGTCACTTGGAGATTTCAAGTTTAAAAAGCACACTACACTTTCTTCGCAATTAGATCGTTTGCTCACAGACTTTGTACACAGAGGCACACGAAGCAAGAATCAAAAGAATTCTTTGATTGCTTAAACCAGCGGTTCTCAACCTATGGGTCGCGACCCCATTTGGGGTCGATCGACCATTTCACAGGGGTCGCCAAGCAAGGCTGTCCGCCATTTTTTTCCCCTTTTCCGGCGGGTGCCTTACCTCCCTTGAGCTGGGCCAGCTGGTGGTCGGCCTGCTCCGTCTCTGCCGCTTGCCAGCTACGCCTCGGCCTGCGCAGGGGGCGGAACCACGCATGCGCGGCGCTCCCGGGCAGGCAAAGTCCTTGACTTACGACCGGTTGGGTAGTCCTCGACTTACGACCGGTTTAGTTCTCGACTTACGACCGGTTGGGGGTCACGGCATTAAAAAGGTTGAGAACCACTGGCTTAAACACACTTTCACTAGCTTTCTCATTATATTCAGTGGAATGCAAAAGCTACTTGCTCTATTGCTGTTACAGTAATGAGAACATTACCTCATTTAAAAGCCAGGATGTTATGTACATGCATGTGTGTATATATATCCACACTGGAGAATTCTTTCAAAATTGTCGAGGAGGCGTTCATTGTTTCTAACACTGCCACAAAGGACAACAGCCCAAACGACCTTTCAACACACGTTTTTGTCAGTTGGTGCCTTTGAAGAACTATTACGTGAAAACCAGAAGGAACAAAACAATTTGATAGCAATAATCAACCTTTTTAAAAGTAGGATATATTGCAGGGCATTTTGTGTGCACCTGAAATTTTGATTACGTGTCTGATGATACGTTGCAAATCATAACATTATCCACCCAGGTATAGATAAAGCAGGAATAGGCTTTCTATAATTCAGGAACCTTATATATTCCCAAGTCTGTATTTTGCTAATCTAGAGCTTCTTAGGATCATGCCATTGAAATTTGATGACAAAAGGCTTCTTATCAGCCATGTGGTTTTAAATATGTATGGCTAAGCCTTTCAAAACCTTAAAACTCTTGATTTCTTGTATTCTTTCTCTCAATCAGCCACATCCCTAAAATGCTGAGTTGAAAAATGATTTTTAAAATGGCGCTCACCCGTGTTAAAGTACGTGTGAATGTGTTCCTTACGATTAGACTTTATATAATAGCAACATTTTTGAAAGTCCTCCAAACTTTTAACTCTGATTGCCCCCTCCTTGTGACTCCTTTTTAATGTTTAATCTTTTTAATCTACATTTTTCCTTGGGGAAATCCTCCCTTCCTTATTCCATAGTTGTATTTCATTTCAGAAATGCAATAACCAAAGATATTTGCAGGAAGAATAAAGTATGCTGAAATGAGTGGAGACTTTAGGGAGATAGAAATATTGAAGTTCAAAACATTGGGGGATGGGTGGGGATAATAGGTTGAGAAACCTTGATATTAACCAGGTACAGAAACCAGATGTTTTTCTATGCATGTTGTTGGATCAAATCCCAACGTACCTCCATCAATGCTTCTGTAGCTATTTTTCTGGGAAACTTTCTTTTGATCTGAGGTTTAAATATAGATTAGGGGGCTGGGATCCTCTTCCATGTCTTAAACACCACCATAAGTGAACTTTTTTTTTTTAGTCTATGGCCTGATATTTTGGAGCAAATTTAAATGCTTAAGGCAAGAAAACCTATCATTTGGCCATAGAAAGGCCTACTTCTGATTAAAATGACACTCCTCTCCCTTTAAAACATTTTTTTCCATAGAGAAAACCAGTGCCAAATAGGATCATTTCCATGTTGAAGGAACCCCTGGGGAAATACTTTCTTGTCAGCCTAATTTCCTTGGTACCGATAGTGGTAGCAAGAATATCAATAAATAGTGGGCAGCTGCTTTGCGTCATCGCACATTGTCTAAAAAATAAAACACATTCAAAAGTTCAATTTTTCAAGGCAATATTTTTAATCTTACCACACTGAAGTTGTCAAACGCATTGCTGACCAACCTTTTATGAAATCTTACCTTGTTTAAACTTCCTTACTCAACTTACCCAACTCCCACTTTCTAATAGGAATTTCTTTCTTTCTTTCTTTCTTTCTTTCTTTCTTTCTTTCTTTCTTTCTTTCTTTCTTTCTTTCTTTTTCTTTCTTTTCTTTTCTTTCATTTTTTCCTCTCTCTCTTTCTCTCATCAATAGAACAAATGGTGCATATTCAAATAAGCAGGATTTTTTAAGTATCTTTCCTCAGGAAAGATAACAACCTGTCTGTAACAGAAGCTCCTATTCCACAGCATAAAAGATTTATTTGCAAGACGAGTATGGCCAGCAGATAACAGTATCTGTTTCTTCATGATTCCTACCAGCCATAAGCTTTTGTCCATACTGCTTTCTTCTTGAACTCTGGAAGGGATCTCAGGGACAATAAAGAAGCTGTTAAAAGAACACACACAACAATATCACCAATGGAAACAGAAACAAATATTCTACTGTTGCATGCCTGAAATGATCTGAAAGTCAATCAACATCACAGGAAGAACTCTCTTGGATCAAATCAAAGGCCCATCAAGCTCAGCCTTCTTCCCCACCCCCCACGTCCCCCACCCCCCAGCAGCAAATGCTTATGAAAAATCCACAAACAGGAACTGAACAGAAAAACACTTGTTCTTCACATCCAAAGGTAACTACTGAAAGACAATAAAAGGCTCATCCTCCAGAAAAAGACCTGAAGCTGAAACACCCCACCTTCGACTGTCCCACAACTTTATAATGATGAGATGTATAAAACAATTCTGAATAACAATATCTTTTGTAAACATGTTTTTCTTTTAAATTGATATAAATCACCTTTTTTAAAAAACAACAACAAAGTGTTATTATTTATCCACGTTTGGAAGTCTGTAAGTAACTCAGTTTTACCATACCTTTCAAAAGACATCTGGAAGACTGAGACAGCATTTCATTAGGATTCTCCATTAGGCTAAACAGCCAGTCAATAAACTGTGAATAAATTTAAAACTCAAAAGTTAGAATTATTTTTTTTTAATTAAAATAACTCAATCAAGCCTTCTCAACTTGTCCAGACATGTTGGAATACAATTATTGCCATCTCAACAGTCACTGATTATGTGGGTTGGTGCAGATGGGAAATGTAGTTCAAAGCATTGGGGGGGGGAGGAGGGGGTAACAAAACTTTGGATAAACCTGCTTTAATTAAAGTTGACAAGCTGATGCAGAAATTTTCATTATTGCTTAAAATATATATCTGTATTCAAATATAAAGTCCAAACTGTTTTATATGAAATACATTTTAATGACAATCCAACATACTCGTGATGAGAACAAGCAAATGTGTGGCTATTTAACCATTCCTTCAAAAAAGCAAAAAAAAATAAACAAAACACAATTTCTTAGAAATGATAAAACCGAGACACATTAAACAGACATATAATCTATCACATGATCTAATTCAAGTTCTCGATCCTACTGGCCAATGGTGATTTATATTACATGCTGATCTATTACTGTACAAGTGAGAGCTGCAGGTTACCTTGCATGTAAGGAAAAACAGCATTGCTGCTATTCTTTTAGGACTTTGAAAAATTAATCGTTTGTAAACTTTCTTAAAACCCTAGTTTGTAATTAATACTAATTTATTCATGTTATAAATCTGTTAGTGCTCTGCAGCACTTCGGAATGAAAGGCATGCTGAAACAGCATCTTTGCACACCTCCTTAGAGCATCAGTATCTCTTCCCAGGAATCTATGGCTACTTTCCAATGCAACCCCATAGCTCTGACAGGTGCTCTTGCAATCCTGGAAAGTATGGATTTCATTTAAAGACCTGTCAAGTTTTATTATCTACCTCTTTGTGCTTCGGTGTGTTTTATGCCCAGCCCTAATTTTCAATCATGCCAAGCTCTTCTTGTACTGTGTGCATTTCACTGGAATGATTTTGGGAGGATGCTGCAATTATCCACATGCCACTTGGAAGATATGCTGGGTGGACTACAGTTTAAACTGCCAACACTCCAAACTTCTGTACATCAATCTGAACAAGTTCATAGCTGGGAAAGAGGTTATAATGTCCTTAAAAATGTACAGGTAGTCCTCGACTTAGGACCACAATTGAGCCCAACATTTCTGTTATTAAGTGAGACATTTGTTAAGTGAGCTTTGCCCCATTTCATGACCTTTCTTGCCACAGTTGTTAAGTGATTCTCTGCAGTTGTAACACGGTTGTTAAGTGAATCTGGCTTCCCCCATTGACTTTGCTTGTCAAAAGGTCGCAAAAGGGGATCATGTGACCTTGGGACACAGCGACAGTCGTAAGTATGAACCAGTTGTCAAGCATCGGAATTTTGGTCACATATGCATGGGGATGCTACAAAGGTCGTAAGCGTGAAAATGGTCATAAGTCACTTTTTTCAATGCCGTTGTAACTTTGAACGGTCACTAAGTGAACTGTTGTAAGTCGAGGATTACCTGTATTGGGAACGATGTAGGTGTGGTGGGAATTCTTTCTTTAATCATCAGTTCCGTCTATAAAACACATACAACTATGAACAAATGTAAATTGAAGTCGGATCATAATATTAAAATGCAGACGTGGTGGTCTTCTGGTCAAGGAGTGAATGTATCTATAGATATAACACTATTTTCTCAAAATATTTATGGATTTATTTAACTGTTGTTATCAATATACTGCTGCAATCTACAGATGCCCATTTCTCCTGTATGTGAGTCCAGCTGCTGGTAGATCAGAACCTGCAAAGGATTCTTTCACATTGTGAGATTAGACTGTTGAGTGAACTAGTGCAAGACACAATCCAACTTAAAACACATACCTTTGGTGTTTGCTCTTTCCAAGGCTCTTTGGTCAACAGAATTTGTAAGCTCCCTGGAAGAAGGTTGAGTATCTCTTTGACAGCCAAAGTATCCACTGGACGCTTGCCTAAAGCACGTGCAGCAAAGGCTCCGTCTATTGTTTCACGCTGCCAGGCAGACCAGTCTGCACTAAGGCCAAGTAGCATTGGCATGGCGTGATCCGCCCAGGCAACCACACAAGCGGCGAAAATCCACAACAGGAAGCTCACAGCCTGAACAGGAAACAGATGCACATTTTGCTAACTGGATCAGTGAAGTCTGGAAAGGTCTAGAGTCACAATAATTTATAAATTATTGAGCTCAAACAATTAAGAAGAAGAATGTTACCGGAACATTTTAATGGTCTTAAAGCTAGTATAATTTTTTTAACATGAGCTATATATCAGGTTGGGAAAAAAAAACTTTTATCTTTAATTTCTAGACAGACCAAGTGAGCTTGTAGAAATGACTAAAGTATAATATTTTATAGCATATATTGCTATACTGTAAATAAGCCTGTTCATCTAATATAAAAATTTATTCAAAAGGTACAATTAGTGCACATTAACATTGCAATAACTATAGTATAGGGAGTTCCAGATTTCAAATCTGGAGGATCATATTTTATTAGCTCTGACATTTTCTTATAAATGGGATGCACCAGGTTGTAGGCTAGTTGTTAAGACAAAGATGGTGGCTACTTGGACTGTGGTGTGGATGGTTACAGTCTTGGACTGGCACTGGGAAAAGCCAAGTTCTAGCCCATCTTCAGCCATCTTCAGACCACTATGTGACTTTGGGCCAGTCACTTTCTCTCAACCCCACCTACTTCACAAGGTAATTACTGTATGTGGGGCAAAACAGAAGCAGTGACTGCTTTGTATACCGTCTTGAATCCTGAAAGAAATGTGGGATATAGATCTATCGATATATAAGAAATAAAAATAAGCCTTCACAAATTCAAACTTGAAAGCCAAAAGGGGCATAAACATAACATTTGTTTCCAGCTGCTTAAAGCAAATATGCCTTTTCTCAGGATGATGCTGCAGTTGCTGACAGCACCCATGCGATCCTAGAAAAGACACAGCTGCTTGAAGGAGTTGCAGACAAGAACTCAACAAGTAGTCCTATATGCCTTTAAGCATCTTTTGTCTTTGATTCCAAAGTGCTGTGCAGTCCTAAAAGGTATTTAGAAGAAATAGAACAAAGGTTCTATTTCTATCTGAAAGGACCACCATATGGTATGACGATAAGAGAATGAATTGTGGATTAGGATTTTTTCTGCATTCAGCTTCAGGTTATTTGTTGTAAGACAGATACTTTCCAAATCTATTACTCCGTCAGTGGTCTTGGCCCAGCAAATGACACTAATTGAGTAAAATAAAAACAGTGCAATGGAATAAAAATCCTGATTTAAAGGATCTTAGTGTAAATATCTAGATAAGGTATATGAAACACTTTGTTTTCTAAATCACAAATACAGGTAGTGCTCAGCTTAAAATTGTTTAACTACAGTTTGAAGTTATAAGAGCCTCGGAAAAAGGGACTTATGATCCATCATCAAAGTTATGACTGGCAACAAAACCCACAGTCGTGTGATCACAATTTGGGTGCTTGGCAACCAACTCACATTTATGATGTCTGTAGCATCTTGCAGTCACGTGATCACAATTTGTGACTTGCCCAGCCAGCTTCAATTGAGGAATCAAAACCAATTGAGGAAGCCAAATTTGATTAACAACTGCACGGTTGACTTAATGACCATAGTAAAATCATCATAAAATTGGGTCCAGCTGATGATGATGACTCCTGTAATGACTGCATCATTTAGTGACTGGTCCCAATTGTGGTCATAAGTTGAGGACTACCTGTAATGCCAACATTTATTAATGTTGAATTCTAGGAGGATTTTCTAGTAGTAGGTTTATGCTTCATGCTGAGAAATTGCTGTATGAAACCACTCATTCCACTACAACTTCATTTGTGATGCAATAAATGCATTGGACCAAGTAAGTCCTACTATGCTCATGGGGCTTATTAACAATAAAATATGTAAATTAATAAAGTAATTCTATGCTAGTAAATTCTATGTTTTCCTCAGAAAACAAGAATCAGTAAGAGTCATAGAGCAGAATTTAACCTGCCTCAGATAAAATGCTAACCTGTAATGTGTTTGGTTTTTGGCTTAAAGCAGGGGTCTTCAAACTGGGCCCTTTTATGACTTGTGGACTTCAACTCCCAGAATTCCTCAGCCATTCCTCATAAAAGGGCCAAGTTTGAAGACCCCTGGCTTAAAGTGATCTAAATACAGCTCAGGGCTTTATGAGTTTTAGGCTACTGCTCAAGAAACTATGGTTCAAATATTGGTATATTATTAAGACCACATCATTTTCCAGAATTCTACTCGATCCACTGCTGACACTGATGGAAAAGAAAATAAATAAGCAAAATCAAAGTCTGGCTTGCAGTTTTCTAACTTTTCAGAGTACCTTTTAGAAAGGAGTGGAGAGTCTAAAGCCTTTGGATATATTTTACTTGATTTTCACTGCCTATGCCTATTTTATAAAGATTATATTTAATTATAGTTTGTATTTGGGGATTGTCGTTATAATGACAATAATATGAATAATTAAATTCAGCAAAATAATGTGCACAGCAAATTATACAGATGGTTTTTATGACTCCTCAAAGTAATTGAATTTTAACTGCAGCTATTTCTAAATGTATATCCAAAATATTTCCTTCCTAGATTTCATCACGATTCAGGCATTCCAGATGGTCAATTTCCAAATTTTAAACACGAGTCCCCAAATACGATTTTGCTATATTTTTTTCAACAAGCTGACATTTTCATTATGGAAGTAATAACGTGATCTTCTCCCAAAGCAAGCATCTCTTGATATTCCTCAGAAAGAGTTTAAATCATACATTTCAACTTGTTTTCTTTATCTGAAAATGTAAATTTTTTCAGCAATGTACCTCTTGGGGAGAAACATTTTGCATAGAGGCTGTATTTAAGGAAACTTTTTTAATATATCCCATGAATTCCAAGAGCCACTCCATTCTTTTTAAGACTCCTGTCAAAGCAAAAAGAACACAGATCAAAATCACACACCCATTTTCAAGTGCTGTAATCATAATCATATAGTTGTAACACAAGTAAGAATTCTTCAACTACATTTCATGTAGTATGAAATATTGAAAGTGATGGGCATACTGGGATTTAAGGATCTAAGTAGCTAGAACATTACTTTAAATATTTTCTAATTGTCAATAGGTGCCAGTAGTTAGTTACTTCTTGGATGGGTGGCAACCAGGAAATCCCAGAATAGTTCCAGATTAGACATGAAACTCAAAACGCATATCAGAAGATGGCAATGGAAATAACTGTCATCTGAGCAATATCCAAGTGCTTCTTCAAAATATGAGACAAAGATCAAAGCTTCTTTTATAAACAATGGCTTCCACCTTGTCACTCTTCCATGAGTCCCACTTTTATCCAGTATTTTGCTGATGGTGGATTTATGAACGCTGGATTTAACCAGGATGATAGAAGCATAAAGATCTTAAGATGTTGTTTGCAATTCCTTTGTGACTTCCTGGATGATCTTATGCTGTGCTCTTGGATCAATTTGGACATGATAACCGCTCTTGGGAAAATCCACAATTGTCCCAAGCCTTCTCCATTTCAACACTGTGTGTCTCTGATTGTACATCACTAAAGCCTAGAGCTTTCTGAATTATTTGTATGTAATTTTTTTTCCAAATGGATTGTTGTTAGTTGCGAAGTTGTGTCCGACCCATCGCGGCCCCATGGAGAACGTTCCTCCAGGCCTTCCTGTCCTCTACCATCTTCTGGAATCCATTTAAGCTCACGCCTACTGCCTCAGTGACTCCATCCAGCCACCTCATTCTCTGTCGTCCCCTTCTTCTATTGCCCTCAATCTTTCCCAGCATTAGGCTCTTCTCCAGTGAGTCCTTCCTTCTCATTAGGTGGCCAAAGTACTTGAGTTTCAACTTCAGGATCTGGCCTTCTAAAGAGCAGTCAGGGTTGATCTCTTCTAGGACTGACCGGTTTGATCGCCTTGCAGTCCAGGGGACTCGCAGGAGTCCAAATGGATAGGTATCAATAACTTTTTAATAAAGGACTTCGAAAAGTTTTTTACAGCAGGATGTGGTGTGCTTTTATAATTTGTATAGTGATGTCATGGTGAGGTTTGTGAGGTTTATATAGGGCAGGACTGGTCCAAATCTGTTTAATGAAATACTCAAATACAATTGGTTCTTAGTTATTGTTTTAACTGAACTGACTGAATAGGGGTGAGGGAGAGGTTCATTTTTTTCACACCAGCACAGTGCTCCATGGACAAATTTATGAAATAAGTGAAACAAGTACCAAACTTTGTTGTTATTTTTCCCCCCACTCAGATTCTCTTTATGTATTGGTAGGATCCACACAAAGCTCTGACAAAACTAAGGGGAAAAGATATACCAACGTTCAGGAAATCTGAAAGGGGAGTGGGGCTGTAAATAATATGCACCAGGAATTTATGCTGACCTGGCACAACTTACGTTCCACAAGGCCAAATGCAGTCTACTAGCAGTTCAATAAATCTCCATCTTTCGGTTGTCTGCCTGGAACTGGGGGAGGGGAGGGGGTAATTGCCCATGCACAGTTCTACAGAAGGACTTGGGAGGAAATAATTAGTAAATAGGAATAAAAGGAGGTTTGATACATTACTCTACTATTAGTAACTGTAGTAAATGGAGATTAGTGGATCGGCCAGACTTTTTTTTTTTTTTTTTTGGCCACGATTTCTTACCAGTGTTTTCATGGCTCAGGATTCGTGCATGGTAAAAGCTGTGCAGCAGCATCCACACAATGGTTTCTTTCTGCTGGCACCCGGCCGCAACACTAATCACATCATTCCATCTCAGCAAAGGAAATCTGCCTTGAGAAACTAAATAAACTCTGACAAATGCAACTTTTTCCAAATTGTTCTGCAAAACAAACCATGAAATGGATGAAAAATAGGAAACAGGCTCCATGGGTGAAGCTCTTGCTCATTATTATTTGAAGACAGGCAACATTTCCTCATGATTTCTCAGAAAAAACATCAGAAAAGAGTTCTCCATTGAAAATGTTCCTGGCGATGCTCCTGAATTTTACATTAACAAAATGTAATATTTAAGATGTGCTTGAGCATGCCCTAATTGAAAACCAGGATGCAGTTATATCCATATACTTTCCAACTCCTTATGAATTAAATCCTTTTTTCTTTCCCTTCCATGCACATTTTACATACACAGACATGAAAGTCATAGTTAATTTAAATCGTGATTACTTTATGATTCACAAATTATAGCCAGGGGTTTAAAGAGTTCTCTAATTATGGGCATGAATAAAAGAGGTTGTGTAAAATGTAACATACAGTGCTGCACAATTATTGTTCTGAATCAATGCTTAATACTAATAAACAAAGGGAAGAAGGAAATCAGCCTTGAGGGATACCAAATAAAAAAAGCTTCCACAAATAGTTTATAAAACTATGATTCATGGGGTCAGAGCATTTCAAGAATAGCTCAGAGAGCGAAAATAATGTTACATGCATGCATAGGACAGCAACACTTCACTTCATACAAGAATGATTCTGATAAAGTGAATAAGGAACAGTTGGAATCCTCACACTTCTGGAAATTAATTCAGGGAGATAATCTCTTTTATTAAAAAAGGAAGCTTGTTAACAAAAAGTGGCTTAGCATAAACTATACAATACTGGGATTTGCATATCTCTCTCTCCACCCCCCCCCCCTTTCATTCTCTCTGTGTGTCTGTCTCTTTCTCCCATGTGGAGTCATCAATACTAATTCTGACTCAGATTGGCGGAGGTAGCAGTAACAAAGTCACTCTGCCTATCTCATCAGGGAACAAATAGACTAGTCCCTGGCATGCTACTTACTTTAAGAAAACCATGTACATAACTTTAATTTTGTAAATCGTATCATCTTTTAAAACTATCATTTGGAATACTTGGAATACTGCATCCAGTTTTGATCACCATGATGTAAAAAAGACGTTGAGACTCTAGAAAGAGTATAGAGAAGAGCAACAAAAATGATTAGGGGACTGGAGGCTAAAGCATATAAGGAAAGGCTGCTGGAATTGGGTATGTCTAGTTTAATGAAGAGAAGGATGAGGGGGGACATGATAGCAGTGTTCCAATATATTAGGGGCTGCCACAAAGAAGATGGAGTCAAGCTATTCTCCAAGGCGCCTGAAGGCAGGACAAGAAGCAACGGATGGAAACTAACCAAACAGAGAAGCAACCTAGAACTAAGGAGAAACTTCCTGACAGTTAGAACAATTAACCAATGGAACAATCTGCCTCCAGAAGCTGTGAATCCTTCAACACTGGAAGTTTTTAAGAAGAGACTGGACAGCCATTTGTCCAAAATGGTGTAGGGTTTCCTGCTTGAGCAGGGGGTTGGACTCGATGACCTCCAAGGTCCCTTCCAACTTTATTATTATTATTATTATTATTATTGTTGTTGTTGTTGTTGTTGTTATTATTATTATTATTATTATTATTATTATTATTATTATTATTATTATTATGGTTATCAAGATTGTAGTTCGGTATCTACTTCCAAACTGGACGTGTGGACCAAGAAGTAGTATTGTTCTGACATTACTAGGAAATACCTTAATTGTTCAAATATCGTTTTCAAATGGTGTCAAACTTAAAATAAAAACATAAAATTAAATTCTGCCTTATTACGTGCACCTCTACTTTGGAATGATAATGGTAACGTTATGTAGAACAGTAGAGAGAAATAATTGTCCTCCACCTCCGTGAAAGATTCATAAGGCTAAAATGCATTTACCTTTGAAACTTCTGTAATACGTTCAATTTCTGTATCAACCATTTCCGAGAGACATTTTGCTGCAAGTATATACATCTTTACATCATCTTGCTAAAGAAATAAAAACAAATGTAGGTTTTAGCCTAAGCCAAGCCAGAAAAATTATTTTGTTATGACATATGATCTTAATATTCTTCTGTTTCAAATTCTAAACCTCCGCCTAATGTTATCAATGATAGCAATGGGAATAAATAATACCGTGTGCCAGAAGCAATAATGCTTTAAACACAGACCAAAACTATCTTGAGGGAATGAATGAAGGATAATTGTAATAAATACAGTATCATAAATGCCCACAGTGATATCTCTATTTATTAACTGATCAGACTAGTTCCTAGTGCACAGAATTACATGAATGCACCTTTTAGGAAAAACCAATCCTAACCACTACCCCATCCATTTATTTCCCAGGTTTGTAAGACCAAAAGTTTGCTTATTTATCTGTCAGAAGCATCACAATTAAAATAAGGCATACTATATGACCAGCATACATTCTTTGGGGAGGCTACCCTGGATAACAGCTGATAGTTGGCAAATCCTTTCAATCCAGAAGCATCCAAAGAGTAGTGAGGTGCTCATTTCCGCCTGCGACTAAAATGTTGAAAAACCTCTATATAAAATACTCCCAGTGGAAAAATCAAAATAGTACTACTGCTAATACTAATATTAGAATCTGTGTCTGTTGGAATAGAAACTAGCATTCATCATCTTCCTACCACTGAAGTAAGCAACGACATCTTGGGGGGAAAAAGACTCCTATGAAATTTCCTGAATGCAGCCCATGCTTCAATAAGCAAGAAAACTAGACAAAAGCAGAGTTAAGAGGGAAGGCAGGATATTAAAGGCAATATAAACAGGGCGGTTGTAAGGAAGAAATATGCCCCATTGCCATGACAGCTGATAGGAAGGGTCAGACTTAATTCACTGAATGTCATGTGTACCTCCATTTTTTTAAGATCAAGAGGATTAAAAAAAACCAACAACCCTGCTTGTGGCCTGGAAATTAATACTCTCTGGTTCAACAACTTTGCGTTATGTTACTGGTAATTAACCAGGCTCTAAATAAAAAAAAAAATCAAAATTGTTTTGGAATCCTTTTATCCTGTAACTAGATACACTCAAATTCTGAAAACATAAGAGTCTAATGCATTAAGAGGACTATATTTGCCTTTTCCTCATTTCATGCCACTTAAGCCTTCTTTACATTTTCCTAGACTTCAAGAATGTAAAATTCAGAGAAGTACAGTATAACTCTTGATAAAATAGTATGCCTAGCTGTAAATGTTCAAATTTGCAATAAATATAAAAATAAACATAACCTTGATCAAGAGAATGTAATCATTTTTAGAATGATTTTAGAGGAACTTAAGTCTCACGCACATGAGAAGATGAGGGAGGTGGGAGTAGCATGAATAGCCCCACTCCTCATTTTTTCCTCGCATGTGTTCAAATCAACATGTGAAAAGGGCTTCAGTGTTGCCCATTAAGACTGGAGTCCCTTACAAGTCCTGCAATCGTTAATTCTAAATTCATGAGCAAAATTAAACAGGACTTTGCTCTATTAAATACAAATAAACAGAGTAGGTCATTTCTAAATCCATTTGGTATATCTGCCATATTAAGCCTCAATGAAAATTTTACAAAATAACATTTCAATCAATCTTATTCACTCAGTACTTCAGTTTCTAACGCAAACTCAGTTCAGTGAATATCCTCTGAGTGGAATCTCAACTTAATTGAGTTAATAGATACTTTTTGAAGCAATGGAATCAAATGTGATTCTCTAGTTCAACAGTACAGTAATCAGAGAAGCAGACATTCCTAATGTTGATCTAAGTCAGTGATGGCGAACCTTTTAGAGACCGAGTGCCCAAACTGCAACCCAAAACCCACTTATGCATCGTCGAGTGTCGGGTGGGTGTGGCCCGTTGGGTGGGCGTGGTTGCAGTGGTAACGGCAGACTGGGCGGGACTAAAAAGTTCAATCAATCAATTCCAACGTTGCAAGATCTTTTTTTTCCCGCGAGAAGTTGAAATTGATTGATTGATTGAACTTTTTTTTTTTGCACACAGCGATGGAGGCCTAAAGCGAAAAGGTTTTATAAAACCCACCTGAAGGCCTAGGACTGGGGCGACGGCGAGCGTGCCCACAGAGAGGGCTCTGAGTGCCGCCTCTGGCACCCGTGCCACAGGTTCGCCACCACTGATCTAAGTTGTTCTCAAACTAGACGCACGCTCATTTTAAAAAGTCCAAGAGATTATCCTACAGCATACTTGTGTAAGGCAACCTCTACAAAAGCTCTGATGAAAATATTGTACGCAGTAAAATAGCTGCATATGTCACAGCTCCTTCGTTTTCATCTAGCCTTTCCAGTTCACCAACCTCTTTTATCTTCCCAAATGAGACCTGTTTTTTCCAGCAAAGTTTTAATACTTCAAATGTTTACTTTTCCCTACCCAAATCTCATCTGGCAGAAGCTCAAATATCTTCTCAGCAGCCTTGCAAAAACAACTCCAGCTGTGCTGAGTTGGGCTAGGAGATTTCATAGCTTGGTTAAGTCCTTGCAAAATATTCCAGCAAAGGTCTTGGTTTTTTGACCGTTTCTTTGCCTCAAAATGCTGCACCATAAACACTTCAGTGAAGATCTGCTGTTTGTCTTCTGCTACATATTTCATCCACAGAGGTAAGGAAGTAAAAAGGTACCTCTTGGCTTGTATCTGATGAGCAAAGACAGAGCGTTAGGGATTCACAGGAATCTAATATGCATTACAACATTAAATCATAGTTGATTATTTACTTTATTATTTTCAACAAATGTCTTCGAAAAATACCTGCATGTATTTGAAGAATGCATAAACCAGTACGACCTCATATTACATTTGTGGATTTTTTTCTGTTCATCCAGAAAAAAAGGTTATTTTTAAAAAGAGAACAAATCCATTACACTAAACTATGTTTTTTTCCCCCTTACTACTGAATGGAGAGGAGCCACACAGCAAAAGGAGTTGACTTTCCACTTCCACCCCCAAGACTGAGAAATAGAAGTATTAGAGAAAGCACACATACACTTAGACTGTAGACCAGAGGCGGTGCCACCCACATGCCTAAAACCATTGCTGCATTCTGAGAGGATTGGGCCTGGGTCACAGCTAGTTCAATACACAACTGCTGTATTTCTTCTCCTAAAAGAAAAATGATGGAGAGAATTGAAGCCATAAGAAGACACAGCAAAAGGATTGGAAGAAAACATCAACCTCAGCTTCCTATAGTTACTCTTCCAACTCTATTGTGTTAGAACTCAATAATAGAGTTGGTCTACTATTAGCATAGAATAATAGAGTTGGAAGGGACCAACTGAATAATAAAGTTGGTCCCTTCCAACTCTCTATGTCAGTGATGGCGAACCTTTTAGACACCGAGTGCCCAAAAACCACCCTGCCCCCTGCTCCCCACCCCCGCCCCACCCCTCCCACCCCATCCTGTCCCCTGCCCTGCCCACCCACAGTGTCACCTACTGCCTCCACGGCCCACCGCAGATCGCCCAGGCAGCCCTGCAGCACCATGGTGGCCATGCCCTCTGCCTGCACTCTGCCGCATCATCTGTGTGCAACGGGCCACGAGGGCGGAGTCTTGTCCCTGCTGCCTGGCTGCCATGTCCTTGGCTGCGCTGCTCCACGCAGGCTGCGCCTGGGGGTGATTCTCCTCTGGGGGGGCTGCTGGTGAGGAGGAGGCCACGGGGGGAGGCGGGGCTGGGGTGACGGCACATGTGCCCACAGAGAGGGCTCTGAGTGCCGCCTCTGGCATGGTGCCATAGGTTCGCCACCACTGCTCTATGTTCTATGTTCTGCTATCACCCATGGAAATTTCCATTGCCTTGGAAAACATAATAGAATGTTAGTAATGTTTCAGGGACCACTAAAAAAGCAATACACTAGTGGTGATTCTGGTTGAAATGATCATCAGAGACTAAATAAAGAAAGAAATTATCCAACTGACCTCAAATTTGTTCTTTAGGGGGGGGGGGAGGAGGAGGTTGCCTGGTTCTAAGCAAAAGTGAAAACCAAGTGAAACCGACTTTTTTCTTATTTGCTTATTTCATAGCCATGAAATATTTATTTCATTTGCTTACACTTAACATTTACTTTGTTTGCTATATTCCAACAGATACCCAATTCAATAGACTACTGTAATTACATCTTGATTTTGTATTGAGTTACGTAAATTATTGTAAAAGTATAATAAAGCTAAAATCCAATTACAGGAGCACGATCATGTTAAATAGAAAAATTTGCATTCGTCGACCAAGGCCAAGTAGGACTTTAAACAAATTTAAATATGTTAGAATGGAAGAACTCAACTTGACTTTAGATTTAAACAAACAGTACAGCGAAAGTGGCATTGACACGAACTGAAAATAAATGCTGGGGAAACAAAGGAATTCGTAATCAGTTCTCCGCTATGTATCCAAGTCCTATCATATAGGAGAGGATCCTGCACTTCTGCTCTAATCCTATTTCTTGAAATCTATGAGACAAATTTAAATTTCCAAATGTCACTGCAAACAAATGATGTTCTGCAGCCCATTAAGATACAAGGAAATTCATAACTTGAATGTATAAAACTTTTTCCTTCCAAGATCTTTCTGTGAAGAATGCTTAATAATGGATAAACAGGAATAAATAAAAAAAAATGTTGCTCTATATCAGTGATGGTGAACCTTTTAGAGACCGAGTGCCCAAACTGCAACCCAAAACCCACTTATGCATCGTCGGGTGCTGGGTGGGTGTGGCCCATTGGGTGGGTGTGGCCCATTGGGTAGGTGTGGCTGTGGTGGTAACAGCAGACTGGGTGGGACTAAAAAGTTCAATCAATCAATTCCAATTTTGCAAGATCTTTTTTTTCCCCGCGAGAAGTTGAAATTGACTGATTGATTGAACCTTTTTTTTTTTTGCACATGGCGGCAGAGGCCTAAAGCGAAAAGATTTTATAAAACCCAGATGAAGGCCTAGGACTGGGGCGACGGCGTGCGTGCCCACAGAGAGGGCTCTGAGTGCCACCTCTGGCACCCGTGCCATAGGTCCGCCACCACTGCTCTATATTAAAGGAGGAGATTTGATGAAGTTATTTATCTACTCAAAGGAATACGGACAGGATTCAGTCATTTATTCTTTAATAATTAAAAAAAGCATACCAAAATCTAGCCGCAGCAGAGGGGCAAGAATTGATGCCCAGTTCAAAGGGGGATACTGATAGCTTCCTCCAATCAATGCAATGGGTGCCATGGCTGCCTTTAAGATGCTTGGATGAACTTGTTCAGGCCCTAAAACAAAGCCTCCAATTATCACTTGAACAATAGATAGCTTGATTAACTGACATGACTTATAATGATAAAAACAAAGAACCACGGGATTACTTTTCGTAGGAGTTTTAACTGTATTTTACGGAGTTTTCGAAATACAATCATTTGTTTCTCCGTAGTAATATCTGGTATGAAAGCCCTTCATCAAGTAAGGTCCAGATCTATTCCCCCCCTTCTCTCCAGGTGTGCAAAATAAGTATATAAACACTATCCAGATGCCCCTCCGTTTTTCTCCAAAGAATCCCAATTTGCCATGAAAGAAGTTGAAACTAACACAAGCAAATGACATTCACCATCCTTTATTCCACAGTCCAGGAGTCCCCGACTCCCAGTCCATGGTCTGATGCTGGGCCACCGCTCTTTTGGAACCAGGTCACGGAAGTGGTGGGGAACATGTGCGTGCGCACAAGCAGCTGCATTTGTGGAAGTGGCACATGCGCAAAAACTATCCCCTCTCCCCATCCCGCTGCCGTCACTCCCTCAAGCCAGAAGGGTTGGAAACCGCTGCCATAGTCCACAAAGCAGACTCTTTGCTTTCTATTAGGAACATTTTTTTTGTAAATGGTAAAAATTGGGATTCTTTGGGAAAAAGTGGAGGAACGCTCTTGGGTGTGTCCATGTTACAGACATTAAGAACGTGTAGAATTATAAGTTCACATCAGCAATATAAGTCTTCTCCGGTTGTAAAAGAGAATGCTGATAATTTCTATAGTAAAACAAAAACAAAAACGTTCGGACCATCCTTTCAATTGTCATGTCACATTTGTGGTAGAGAAGAGAAATAATTATTTCTTCTCATCGCTGGAAGATGTTTTCCCCATATAAGATTTTTTGTTTGTTTGTTTACCTTTCTTTCCACCTTCTATAATGAAATCAATGGCTGCTCTAAGGAAACTTTTCTCAGGGAGGTAGCTAAAGTCGGAAGGAACTGTAAAGACAAAGGCAGATCGGGTTAACCATTTTCACATTCACACTTGACAATTTTACAGCAGAATATAGGCAGGTGCTTGACAGTAGAGTTCAAAACAAAGGTCCGTGCATAATATTTGTGTAGTATTCTGGAAATAAGTGGACAGGACCCAAGTCAAAAACTAACTTTCAAAAGTTGATGGAATTAGCAGAGATGGCTAAACTGGCTGTTTTGATAAAAGAAAAGAATGTAAGTAATTTTCTTTCTACTTGGAAACCACTTCTTGAGGTGGAAAAAAATGATAGTATGACTTTGGATTTTACTGATTAGATTGATAGAAATGGCTAGTTGGTACTACTACTACGGAAATGTAAAAAGTTGAGATTCGATGTTAATGCCTTATTCTATTGTAACAGAAGGAGTCGGAAGTCAACACCTTTTTTTTCCTTCCCCCCTTTTCCACACTCCTCTTTTTCCCCTTCTCCTACCGTTGTTCCTTACTATTTGCTTTTGTATTTTTGTATTTTCTGTTATAAGTGAATAAAATATTTTAAAGAGAAAACAAAACGAACTTTCATTTCATTTACATTTAATGAAATGAAAGCTAAGATGATTAATTCTTGATCACAGGGCAACTTAGAGCAGGAGAAAGCAGGCTGGGGGAAATTCAGTGAGAGCTAGCAAATCAGGAACAAATTTTTTTTCTACCAGAGTCATCAACAGGTGCCCTCTCTCTCTCTCTCTCTCTATGAACTGAAAAAAGGACACTCTATACCAGGGGTAGGCAACCTTGGCTCTTTTATGACTCGTGGACTTCAACTCCCAGAATTCCTGAGCCAGCCATGCTGGCTCAGGAATTCTGGGAGTTGAAGTCCACGAGTCATAAAAGAGCCAAGGTTGCCTACCCATGCTCTATACAAATTGACTTCATAGCCTCAAAAATAAGACCCAGACTCTGAGGGAGTGGGTGGGCTCTATTTGAAATATCAAAACTTTTTATTGTCATCTCATTTTTCTAAATCTACAATCTCATATGAGCTTCAACTTACCAGATGTTCGACTACGGGTGGCAGACATATTGGAAAGGTACAAATGTCCTAACATCCATGCTGCGTTTACCTGAAGCCCTATCACCCCAGAAAAGCTGATTATCTGCAAGGAGAAACATCACAAACGAACCCAAATTATAATTCATTTTATGTAGGTTATCATTACTATAAAATAAATGCCACTAGTTTAATGTGGTGTTCCCCATAATATATGGGCACACTCCATATTTAGGTGAGTAGACCATACCATTCTGTAGATAACACCATAAAATGTGCTTTATTCTTTGAGGAAAAAATATAGGCAGATGTTGAAGGAAGGAATGCCCCACCTTGACCATTCAGTTGTCTGTGAATATTTTCCCTGTAACATAACTCATGTCTATCCTAAATAAGAAAACTGTAATCCAAAACAGGAACACTACTATAACAAAAAATCACCTATATGAAACTATTTGGGGATTGTTGCCCGATTATACCCATACTTGGAAGTCGTTCTGTTCAAATGGAAGTATACTTCGTTCTGTGAATATTTAGCAGGTGTAAAATACAAAAAAAGTGCATAAGGAATGAAACTAAACTAATTTTGGAACTAAGATTCCAAAATTGGAAATGGAAATTTAACCAGTATGACCACATGTGCGTGTTGCTAATAAGGGGTCTTTTTTCTTAATGATTAGTTTTCTTAATGAGATAGTTCACTACAGGCTGAAATGGAGACTATTGACAAAGCTGAAGATGGAACTACAGTATGTCAGATCTAATGGATAGCAGCTTCAATGACTATTTCCCAACCTCGTTAAAAGACTGATATGATTACTAACCATTTTCAAGCCAGCTCTTTCAGAAAAGGAAATGGGCCCAGGAAAGAAGCAAGGTAATCTCAGAAAGAAAATATTATGCATTTGAATCATATTAATTACATTGGTGATTAATTAAGATTATTAATTAAGATTATTCCCTTATATTTAATCATTTTACCATGTCACAAAAAATGTGATAGCAACTTTTGGAATAGAGCACCTGAGGACTTGAAAGACTGCCTGGACTAATCCCAAACTTTATCCTGAACGAATTGCACAGCAATGTCAACAGGGTAACCCATACCTGAGTCAGGGTTCGGATGACTTCATTAAGTTTGCTTTGAAATTGAGAGGATTGGGTAGCTTCTGATTTCAGCTATTTATAAAAGAAAACACTGATGGATGAAAAAGTAATTGCACAGAAAGTCAAAGCATCTGCATGGCGAGGGACTTTCATGCACATACATACGCACCTACATGCACCCAAATGTTTTATTTTAATGTTGATTTAATATGAGAACAATTTTATTTTCTAACACCAAACGCATGCTGCCAACAATTTTGGGTATGGTCTAGTAGTTAAGGCGCAAGGCTAGAAAACAGGAGACATTGAGTTTAAGTCCCCCCTTAGCCATGAAAGCCAGCTTGTGACTTTGACCTGGTCACTTTTTCTCAGCGCAACCTACTTCACAAAGCTGTTGTTGTGGGGAAAATAGGAGGAGGAAGATGTGTTGGGTGAGTTTGCTGCCTTGAGTTATTTGCAAAAATAATAAGGGCAGGATACAAGTAAATAAATAAAGCACACGATATCGCACTCTATAGGTTACTAATTAAGGAAGCATAAGCGAATATGAGTAAGCCACTTATTAAAATGGTGCTCAGCTATTTCCTCAGCTATTTGTTTGTTGTATTTATTATATTCAGAAACAGATCATACTCCTTCTTGCCATTTCCCCCAATAACAGCCCTTTCAGACTAGCCCAAAGTCACCCAGTGAGCTTCTGTGATTGAAGGGAGGTTTGAATTTGGGTTTTTCCAGGGTTAATTCTATATTTAACCACTGTAGTATAGTATCTCTTGTGCAAAATCTATACCTTTGTTGACTCTGTATTCACATGTTATTGGAAAACACCAATCACTTGAAACTTATTTATGTTATTTTTATCAGTGAATACTCTCTCTCTCTCTCTCTCTCTCTCTCTCTCTCTCTCTCTCTTTATACAATATTTCATCACTCTAAAGCATGGATGTCAAACTCAATTGCGTCACATGAGGTATTGTGACTTATCACGATGTTTTTTGCCTTTGCAGAGCTGAAGTGGGCGTGGCCTGAGCGTGATGCATCCGGCCCGTGTGACGCCAGTTTGACACCCCTGCACTAAAGTATAACTGAGGAAAATATTCTGTAATAATAAGCCAAATACTTAATATATTGCATCATGCAGAAGAAACCAGAACTGATCTTCTATATACTCTAAAGAAAAATATTGTGTAATCACATACTAAATACTTAGTATGTTGCAATACACGGAAGAAAACAGAATTGAGCTTCTATATAGTCTAAATAAACATCTGTCTCTTGTTCGTGCACGGGTGGGGGGGGATAACATAGACCACACTGTCTGGTGAGGCAAAGTCTGTTCTGCATCACAGATGGAAAGTTAGGGAAACCGCTGCTGGTTTCAGAGGAGAGCATGACAGAGGAGAGGTGCTAGGCTGGCAACCCACTCAAATTCTCGCCTAGATGGCCACAAGAATTCTAGAACTTGGATAACCAAGACATCCAGAGGGAAGCAGGTCGAGAAGCCTGTATTTGGAGTTTGCTTTTGGACCATATACACAACTTCTCTCTCTGTGTAGTGCAGTCACACTGGTCATTTTTTTTTGTTACACAAGTGCAGACTCATGCACTTTTCTATAAAAATCGTGTAATTTTTTTTTTTAATGTAGAAGGGTTTTTCTCCAAAAGGGAGAATAGAGATATGGAAAATAGTGGCTATGATTATTAAGAAGTAGCATAAAAAGAAGGATGGGCAGCGGTCTCTGCAAGCATATATACATCTAAAGATCCCTTTCTCCTTCTGTATTAGCGTTCTGCCCTAGCCTTATTCCTTTCAGGCAGCAAGGAAACAAAGTGATATGGCAAACTGTAGTCAGTAGAGGGCTGAGGAAGCATTGCCAGTGTTATTGTCGGGAAAGGTAGAAGTGTGATCTATGTAAAGATCATACTTGGATGTTTATGTACTGCTGTCCGTATGCAATTTTGTGTACCCCCTACCCTGCAAAATCTGAACCATTCTGGGGCAGCTCTCAAGGAACTAAAGTTGCCTAAATTTCATGTGACATTACGGTTTTTTCACCGGATATGAGTATATTTCTGCAACACTATGGGGCTCGTTCAATTCACCTGAAGTATATAATGTAAGGCGCGAAGAATCAAGACCATATGGCAAATTCCAATTCGAAAGATTTATTGCTCAAGCCGAAACACAAGAATCTAGTCCGCTGATGGTCAGTACTAAATCGGTGCTAGGTAAAAGTCAACAGAATTCAAGAAGGGCTGGACTTGGAGCATCTGTGGACATGTAACGATTCTAGGCTGAATCCTTTCTTGACTCCGACCCCAGGCTCTGCCTCTTCTTCTACGTCTACTCTTATAAAGTTGCCTCCCTATTCTTATATTTGAAAACTACGTAAATTCAAGACAGAAGTAATCTGGCATGTCCTCATTTTACCTGTATCATGGTACTTTCAGAACCCATTAGAGAGACCAACCCATTGACCGCTGCTAGTCTCTGCATTGTAGGAGCTCCCTAGAATCAAAGCAAAACCAATGTTTGTTAGAGAAAAAGTGAATGCTCTTGAACTGCTTCCTGCAAGAAAAAAGATTGCCCTCCCCCAAATCCTTTCACCCACTGATCCCATGACAGACATCCCGATACCAAATATGCTGCCATCAGCATTGTGAAATGGACAGCTTTTCCACTCATCCTCTCAGGGTCCCATTCATAACCTATTCAGCCTTTTAATAATTTCAAAAATGAAATGCAGCTACGGGACTCTGTGGTCAAAAACAGAGGAACAGCACAAAAAGGAAGAGAAAAATGACTCCTTAGAAACTTTCACCTTCAACCACTTTAACCCTCGAAATCTTTGTGGTTGCTTTTCTACCTGTTAAAAAACAATACTGTGGTGAAGTAACCGGGGTAGGGAGAACAGATGGACAGGGAAGTGTTTAAGCAGCTTCACTTAACTTCTACCATGCCACTGGTTTTCAGTTAAAAGCAGTGTAGGAACCAGGAAGTGCATCTGTTTTGGCCCTGGGTCAAACTTAGTGCAGCCTGGTTCTCAATGATTTGGAAAACTCAGAAGCTCATTCAGCAACACTGCATGAATCCTGGAACTTCAGATGTACTTTATGGGTTGGAGAGATAGAAACAAAAGAATGGATAGAATCAACCCATTCTAAGCCTCAAGATTTCCCATTAAACACAGCTAGCAAGAAACAGGCTCCTTTATTCCATAGTGGTTTAAAAAAAAAAAAAAGCAACAGACTGGCACACTGCATTCCTAGGAATGGTTAAAGCTGTCAGTCAACTCATACAGTTACAAGTGCTTTACCTCGGCAAGTACAGTTTTCATCCAGACCGGAAATAGCTTATTGCTGAGAACGTCTGCTTTTCCATGTCCGCATACAGACAATCCGTGAACAAGGCTCCCCAAGGCTAATGCAAAACCTGGTGTCTGCCGCAGAACAAGACATAAAGCAGGTAGCTCATTACGAAGTCCGTTTGTTTTGCATTGTTTCAAAAGTGAGAGAAAAAGAGTGAGCAAAGGGGCGGGGCAGAGAAATCCTTAATTTAAGTAAGAAGTATACTGTAGTACTGTTGTGAGTTCTTTGAAACAAACAAAATCAAAATGCACTCAAGCAGGGAAAATGAACTTGCCCTGTATAGTATTGCACACAGAGCAGCTCTTCTTTCAAACCAGATAAAGTGCTGCTTAAGATCAAGTGTAATTAAAAGTTAAAAAAAAAATCTTAGCATTAACAAACAAAAATATACCAGATTAAAAGACTGCGAAGCCAATAAATGGTTTCATTATACGGTAAACATCTTCCCCTTCCACTTTGAAGTGACCCTTTTCAGTTTACTAGTGTTCTTTATATAATTGCATTAAAAATTAGCAGGGTAGACTGTGAGCAGGGAAACGGTTGACATAATGACATCAAAGTACTGAATAAGATGACCATGTTTTATGAAGCAGCCTTTTTCAATTGGTACCCTTCAAATGTGTGGGGATTGTACTCTTAAAATTTTCAATTATTCGGACATTGTAAGAGAAAGTTAGTCGACAATGGCAAAAAAAAAATCAGGAGTTTGATATTTTCTGAATAAGAATTTTTACTAAAACTTATTATACTTTTCTGAACTGCAGCTCACTTCATCTGTTGCAGATGAAGGATTTAAATTAGGCAGAGGCAGGAGGAAGAAGGAAGGAAAAATGATTATACAGACGCAGTTTACTTATAAAACAAATTACAATATCTTACCAATTAACAATTGTAATGTGTTAATATATGTCAGTTTTGTGTCCGTTAAGTCTTTTGCACAAATACTTTCTCCCATTTGTCCTAGGAAGAATCTAGAGGGAAGAGGCTGAGGCACCACACTAGAAACCGAGAGACCAGGAGTTCTGGTCCTGTCATAGGTACAAACCCAGTTACTCTCTCACAACAGCAAACCACTTCCAAAAATTCTTGCAAATAAAACTGCAGGGACTTGTCCAGGCAGTCACCAGAAGTCCAAAACTGATGGCACAAATAAAAATTCAGGTAGGTATTGTGGGCAGATAATAGCATATATCACAATGGAAGCAAAGTATATGAACATGCTTCTAATCTTATGTGTGTTCTTGTTAGGTCCTAATAAGTGACAAATTTGACATCAGGATTCAAAACAAGGATAAAGTAATATCAAAGCATTTCAATCTCCCAACAAATTTCATGACAAACCTCAGAGTGGCTGTTTTGGCAAAGCGGGAGTTGCAAAGTTTTCAGGCCATCTCAGAATGTCTTAACCGACAATACAGATTATTTACACATTACAATTGTTAATAGATAAGGTACTTGAAATCTGTCTTAGCTGTAACCTGCATTTGCCTATTCTAGCTATCTTTCTCTCCCTTTTCCAATTTTAAATCCTATCTCAGTCTGAGAACCGAAGAAGCTTCTTGGATAGAAGTGAAATGTTTTCAAGGAAAAAAAAATCAAGAAAGTCCAGTTGCCTTTTGGAAAAGCACCTTTGGGACAACCATGACCTGGATGATTGAGAATCTCCACAGACATACAGGACTAAGGTTTCCTGATGCCTCCATTTCAAGAAGCAGTTTGATTCGCTTTTCAGGTCATCCATACTGTTGCTGAAAATATTAGGATGACATAAAATAGTACAGAAATATTTTGAAAGCATAACATTGATCTAAAAGCTTGATATGACCTGTTGATTCATTTCTGTTAATTTCTGCAGCTTGTCCATAACCTCTTCAGCCTCTGTAGCCTCAACAATCCTAGTGCTGAATGCAGAAATACAGACACAGGCAATTGTGTAGGCAAGAATCTAGAAAATAGAAAAAAGTTAAGAAATAATTAGAATGAATTCATTTTTTAAAAGTATGTTTTATGTACACACAATCTGGGAAATGTAAACATGCTGGAGAAACAGCAGATGAAAAGCAAGCATTGGAAAAGTAAACACCGTCCTCTTACTTCCTGTAATGTTCGGCTTTGGTCTTCTGCATCATCCAAGTATTTGCAAAGTTTACGCAGAGAGGTGGAGATGTGACCTTGAGAATCTGTCAAGTTGCTGTGACTCATCAGTGACAGAACAAGTCCTACCCCCAAGATACATCCAGTACTAAATATAAGAAATTAGAAGAAAAAAAAGTGTTGAGACAGTCGGAATTCTAATTTAACCAGATATAGAGAATGCTTATTTTTTTTCATATTCCAGGAAATTCTAGATTTCTTTTAGTGTCATTTGTAAGAAATCATGATGGTGTCAAAATGATTACACCTGTGATGTCATGATCACATGACTGGTATAATTACACACTTGTGTCATGCATACAAGTCATTGCATTTACAAGACGACATGATTATAAATTTGTTTCTTGTTTACCAATGTCGTTCAAATATTAATGTTTATAGGTTATATGGGGATCAATGTCACAATTCCATTTTATATTCATATATTAAAGTTACACACAGCCACAGAACTTTATTTTTAAGCGAATGTTTAAACAAGTATATGCAATCCTCATTCAGTTCACAGCAGTTGATAGATAACTGAAGAAACTGATATATCTGAAATAAAATTCATTACAACAGATCTGTCTATCACTCCAAGTTGTGCCTGACTTATATATATATATATAATAATAATTTATTAAACTGGTATGTCACTCAATAGTGCTTCAAGCATAATTGGTTCCACTAAAAAGCTCTGCAACTGAGGCAATGTGAAGAGATATGTATGATAGCCTTTTCAGACAGGTTATACTCATCAAATAACGAGATACCTCGCTCCTACTCCACAGTGTGGAAGTCCCTGCTATTCAATTCTTCTACTGGAAACAGTGAGAAACATCTGTAAATATATGATACTAGGCACATCATGCAGCACATGCTGTGACTCATGATGAATATCCACAATACAAGAACTATGTAAATTTGCAGATTAGTCTCACTGGCTAGTATTAAGAGCTACATAAAAAAATAATTATATCAGTGATGGCCCTGGTATAGTCATACTTTCATAGAACTGAAACATATTGATTCCATTCATGAAATAGATCTTTAAGAAAAAAATTTATGCTGGTATAACAATTCCTCATTGTTGTTGCTTTAACCCAATGGTTCTCAACCTGTGGGTCGGGACCCCATTTGGGGTCGATCGACCATTTCACGGGGGTCGCCAAGCAAGGTTGTCCGCCATTTTTTTGTCCGCCATTTTTTTTGTCCGCCATTTTTTTCCCCTTTTCCGGAGGGGGCCTTACCTCCCTTGGGCTGGGCCAGCTGGTGGTCGGCCTGCTCCGTCTCTGCCGCTTGCCAGCTATGCCTCGGCCGGCGCAGGGGGCGGAGCCACGCATGCGCGGCGCTCCCGGGCAGGGAAAGTCCTCGACTTACGACCGGTTGGGTAGTCCTTGACTTACGACCGGTTTAGTCCCCGACTTACGACCGGTTTAGTCCTCGACTTACGACCGGTTGGGGTCGCGGCATTAAAAAGGTTGAGAACCACTGCTTTAACCATTCAGTTGTGTCCGACTCTTCTAGGCAAATGCTTTCTATGCTACCCTGTCAAACACAGCTTCTTTCCGTTGTTGGATGTCCATTTTTGTATCAAATTTGATATTATCAATCCAGCGTGTTCTTTGCTTGCCCCTTCTTGGTGTTTCACTCTTAATACTTATGTTTAAAAATTATTTTGTGAGGAATCCGCCACTAGATGGCAATAAAGTCTTATAAGTAAGTTGCAACCATCCTCAAAAAAAGCTACCTGTATGTGGAACTATTTAAAAAAAATACCCATCTCAACAAGCTGGCTCCCATAAACATTTTAATTAGATTACTGAGAAGCATTTATTATCAATACTCTCCAAGAACCGTATATTCCTATGCTTCTAAAAACAGAGAAGAACTGTTTTGAGACTGCCACCAAACCACAAAAACTCCTAAGTGACTTTCATCAATGCCCAGTTTCTGTCCACTATCAAAACCTTACGTTAAAGAGTCAAGGGAATGTCTGCCTGCAGTTGGGAAAGGAAGAGAGGAATTTCACTCGTGTGAGTGAAGCTCATTTACAAGCAGATCTGATGCACAAAGGTTCTTGGGTTTTTAAAATGTATTATTTTATTACAGCCATAACAAATAATCATGACTATAAATGGATTGAACTTGACACCTTGATGACCATTAAAAAAATCCGAATCAAACTTTGTAAAATGTTAAGAAAAATAAACAAAGGATCCTCTCCCCAAACAGCTCAATCAAGATGGTGAACATTCCCATAATGAGTAAAATCAGAGAGAAATGGAAGCCCAAATGGAACGGTGGTTACAGTCAGATGCTTATTTTTAAATAGTTTGTTGCAAGTTCCACTTGTATAAGCTGTTGGGTAGTCTTGTTTTGAATATCCCCCTTTAGTTTCGCTCAGCTCAGAAATGGTATTGTAGGTGTGGACAAATTGGGGAGGGGATCTAAACAGACAACAAAACACAGAAGCGCAAAAAAATAAATGAAGAAGGACAACAAAAACAAATCCTCAGAAAATCAACAGGTTCAATGATGGGACATTCTTGTTATGAAAACTGTACAGTTTTAGTTCAGAAAGATTTATTTTCCAAGTCCACCACATATGAAAAAAAGTTGCGTCTGTGTGTCCACACCTCCAACACTTGGATTCATAATTCACATAAATACGAGACATAGTTGAAGGATCCAAGTGCCATCTATAAAACATTTTATAAAAGTTCTCACGTAAATTTTGAGCTTGTGTGAACTTCACATTTCTCACCCAGATTAACTCCCAAGTGTCCATAGGTATTGTTTCTCCTATATTTTGAGCCCATTTAATCATACAGTCTTTAACTAATTCAGTTTCTGAGTCCAATTCTAATAAAACATTATATATCCTTATCCTTATTAAGGCCTTTTGGATACAATTGTGGTGGAACTTACAGCAAATTTTTTAAAAAAGGATCATTTTTCTTCCACAGTTGTTTCTTTTAGGTATTGTGCAAGATTTAGATGCAAAAGAAACAAATTTGATGCTTTATTGTTTAACTGCTGCCCATTTGTTGATAGCCCAAAATTGGAAGAGCCCAATTCTGCCTACAATGGAAGACTGGAGATTGAAAGTTTCGTATCTTGCTGAAATGGCAAAGATTTCGGCTTATCTGAAGAATCATTCAAATGAACAATTTTTATCAATATGGAGAACATGGATTGTTTATATTCAAAAGAAGCATAGAGTGGTAGAATATAACTTAGGTTTTTAGATTTTTTTTTTATTTTGTTTATTCTTTCTATCTTTTCTGTAGATTAAGATACTTTGTGGAGTTAGGGATATTAGTATTTGTTTACTTATATATGAATATTATCCTGGGATTAGGTTTGGGAAGTCCGGGGGGGGGGTTTACTTGTTACTGTGTTTATTATGCTTATGATTGTTTTTTTATGATGGAAAATAATAAAATTTCTTTGAAAAAAAAAAGAAAAAAAGAAAGATTTATTTTCCTTCCTCTTAAAAAACACTAGACGGTAGTGGTCAAGCAACAGCCTTGATTGATAACATATTTTATGGTAAGACATCACACAAAAGGCAAATCCTTCTTTTCACAATACACAATTAAGTTATGGAGATTGATGTCCCTAATTTAGGGAATTAAGCGTATTAAGGAAAAATAGGGTTTCCGGTGGCTATCCAGAGCTGAACTGAACTATTTTAAAGAGATATCCCCAGGTAAAGCAGGATTCCCTCCAAAATGAAAGAATCAAATTCTGAATTTCCTGAAAGACAGATAATGAACCTGGAAAAAACATCATTTTCTCCGGAGTCAAATTTAATTCCGATCCTCTCCCATCCACCCTTAGAAGCATAAGCTCTGCTATACCTTTTTCTTTCTCTACCTTGGGCCTTAATTGTTATTTTGAATTCTATGCTCCCTCTGTAGTTCTCTATAGTGTATATACAGTATATTAGTAATTACTCTTTCTTGCTGAATTATATATTGTTCTGCCTCACAATGCTCCTCTTCCTGTGAGCCTTTTATTTAATTCTCTGTGTACTCTGTGTTATATGGGCATTTTATTTCACACGCACACCATTATGAATAATATAGTGTGCATATTTGTAATGCTAATAAATAGTTATTTACTCTCAGTTCATTGTGAGGGCAGACTACACAATCCACATGGGAGAATTAAAGAAGGGAGAGATGTCATCTTCTATCAAAATCCTTGTGGGAGATGACCAGACTGAGCCCGAGGGAGGGGGTCAAATGCATCATCACTCTTGAGTCCCTTTGTGCCCACAAGTTCAGCCCACCTTGAATTCCGTTGACTCTTATTTACCGCTAATTTGCTTTGACCAGTAATAGTTCAGGTTTCGTAAAGAACATGAGCATATAATAAACCTATATTCATTTGAACTGCCTGAATTCCCGATTTCCTGTGCGTGACATTCCCTTAGTGTATTTTGTCTTCAGATTTAAATTTGTTTCTCTATAGGATCAATTATGTGAAAATTACATATTTAAGGAAGATCCACTTCTGCCTAAAAATTTCCCCTTTTGTAAAATCCTTGCATTTCTTTCTATGGGATTTTATAGACTAATTTTTAGGGGGGAAAATTGCTGTACCTACTTTTGTAGATATCCTAGACTGGCCAATGAGAGCCTCAATATTTAACTAATTTATAGAGCCGTCCATCTCATGAGCAAGCGACTCTGGGTGGCATATACAACAAAAGAAAAAATTATGATTCCAAAATTTAGTTCACATGTAGCTCTGAATCAAAGTGTCCAGAATCTGAAATGTTTCGATCAAATCAGACTGTTTTCCAAATTACTATTTCAGCATCTGAAGTGAACTGTGTGCTGATACATGCCCTAACATTTAACAATTAAGTTCTATAAAAATATGAATTCCTTGTGTACATCCCTAGAAAAACCTACATGCTCCATGTGAGTACTGTGGAACAACCTACCTCCAGAAGCGATGAATGTTCCAACACTGGAAGTTTTTAAGAAGAGACTGGACAGCCATTTGTCTGAAATGGTATAGGGTTTCCTGCCTGAGCAGGGGGTTGGACTAGATGACCTATAGTATAAGGCCACAGCTTTGATGCCTCTCCCTGTCATGCCAGCTTATGTTTCCCCAAACTTTTAAAAGATCCAGTTGCTGGGTGTTGAGTGAAATATACATTTTACTACTACTACTACTACTACTACTACTACTACTACTACTGCTGCTGCTGCTGCTGCTGCTGCTGCTGCTGCATTTCTGAAATAGTTTTTAAATCTATATTTTAGAATGAGGTATTGAGATACCATCTCTTCAAATATTTTATGAGATAACAATATTTGCAACCTAAAATACAATGACATTCGGTTATCGGTACTAGCCAGATTTTTATTTATTTCATTTTGCCCCAAGCTATACCTAAAATAGGAGGCAAACGATCCTAATCTTTCATCTCCCTACCATTGCACTGTACCTCCATCTGCTCTTGGCTGGCAGGGGGGGAAGCTAATTTGGCTACAATTACCAAGCTTTTATCTTATGCTAGATGGGCACTCAGACATGAAACAGTGGGCATTGCAAAGCAATGTGGCTAATGCATCTCTCTTTTGCCATATGTGCCTTCTACCATGCCAGAAGACAGTCAAGCAATGCCAATTCGATTCTAAACTCAGCTCTCCTTAGATTATAGCGAGGGCAGCGTCTACTCGGTGCCAAAGAAAAGTCTAAAATCTCTGCCAATGAAACAAGGAATCTGCATATATTTGCATACATTTGCGCAGCTAGGTATTTCTTTTTTTGCTTCCAAGTGTCAGGTTTTCAAACAGCAAAAGAAAGTAAGAAGACTGAACACGTGTTCTGTGCGGCATAAAATAAGAGGGGGGAAAAAAGGAACGAATTGAAGGATGAAAATGGAAAAAAAATGTTTTAACCTAGCTGAGGCCACTGGGTATTGAATAAGGCCGATTCATTAATGCTTACAATTTAAATGGATTTTGAAAGCGTAAACCTGAAATTCACTTCTAAAATGGCCTTTTTACCTGAACGTTGATTCTGACAATTGCCTTAATAGTCAGGATACACCTCAAGGCCCATATAATTTTAAACGTTTTTTTTTCCAGCATCACTTTTCCATACGTTTTAGTCTTTTCCCAATTTCCCAGCTATTTTGTTCCAACACCTGGAGTTCCAGCCTGCTGCTTAGCAGACCTAAGTAAGTTTCCTTTCATCCATACTTTACACCCAATCTCCAGCTGTTAAATTAACACAATAGCTCCTCCAGATAAAGGAGCAGGGTGAGACAGCTGCTCCTGCAGCTCAGACTGTATTATAAGCACATGTCTGTTCTAACCACAGGCTCCAGAGATGGTAGGCTCAACTCAACCTTACCAATGAAAGCTTCAAAAGTGTATTTTATTAATTAACCTGTAAAGGAATAGTCTCCTGTCAACATTGGCTGACTCCGTGATGCCATCACTACTCTCCAATTCACCTTAAATGCTCCACATCTTCAGTGTTCTAGGTCCAGGATCTAAGTGACAGTTCATAGTTATCTTTATTAGGTACTTTGCTTTTTCTGCTTAGTTTTTTTTCCATCCCAACAAATACATAAACTGTACATTGATCTAGTTATTAAACAGACCCCGAGCACATAGAAATATATTTATGGGCTGTATTTTAAATTCTAAATGTATTCCTTAAATTAGGTGGCTACAAACAAGTCTGCAGGAAATACCGTATAGATATCCTCCCATAGAATAAGAATAATAAAAAAAACAAAACCAAATGCCTAAAAGCATTTTCCCCTGTGTTCATAACAAAAAAGATATCCTTTAGATCATATGGAATACATTTTTTTCCTATACAAATTATACTCCAGTTTAGAAAAAAACATAATGAATGAAGCAGTCCTACGGTTTTCTACATACTGCATGGCATTTATAAACTCTTCCACAGCTGTGGGAAGAAAACAATGAAATCCAATAAAACAAGACTGTGTCTTGGTTTCAGAGGACATGACTGCAGATACCTGCCTTTTGGAGATGTTTTAAATCCCTATTATATTTATAGCAAATATATATTACAAATGTAGCATGCCCCCAATAGGCAAGATTATTTCACTGCACTGGTACTATCCAAATATGTAATAGAAAACTGTATTTTGTTTTCTTTGAACGACCCTGTAATCCCTTGCTTTGGAGTGGAGTCAGGGCGACTGAATGGAACTGAGCGTTTACCGGCCAGATGCTCTTCCTGATGCCCACCCGGTGTTCACAGCAGACAGTTACTCATTGTACCCAGAGAGAGAAATATTTGCCACTACCTAGGCTCAAACTCACAGCCTCCTGATTGTGAGGTGAGAGTTCCATCTCTAGGCTACCATGACTTTCATAATAGAAAACTGTATAGAAAACAATACAAATACAATACGAATCACAAACAATACAAATCACAATACTAAAAAAAGGAAAACATATGGCATGCTACATCAAAAACTACAATAAAATTAAATCATCTAAAAGTCTAAGGCATTTTAAAAATATATCTCTTTTGTTTATTTAAAAAAAATTCCTTCTATGTTTTCCTTCTAGTTATGCCACATTTCTCCTATAAAGAGTTCAGGAATAGGTACATTGCCTAATTTTATCTTCAAAAACATTTTAGAGTTAGGACAATAATATGTGAGAGACCAGCAAGCAGTCACAACTAAGCTTTGTGATCCAATTTTAATTCTGTAAAGCCTGGGCCCAGATGATGTTGGTGAATTATTGAGAATCCTCCTCCAGTTTGGGGTTACTGGGTGTTATAGCTCAGCATCTGGAGAAATACAATTCCTGCCCCTGATCTAAGCACAACAGCACCCTACACATCGAAGTTCAAGCACTACAACAAATAAATAAATGTACATACTTGTACTCCAGACTTGTGTCGAAGCAGCAGTCTTCTAATGCAGCCAGAGACTTCCTCAACAGGAGATTCATTTGTTTGTCAGCAACATCACTAGGGGAGTAAAAGTAGTAATAATATATCCTAGTGATACATTTCCCTACATTTTAAGTCTTGTAAATTATTACAGTTTTTCCTGATCTGATAACCAATTTGCTATTATTATTTATATATTCTTCTCCCGTCTAATACAGATTAACATTTTAGATTCATGGGTGACAGAACCACACACACACACAATACACAATGTAATGGAATGTGGTAATGAATTGGATTCCAAGGAGAGGGTGTGTGCATTCCAAAGGAATAAGAGGCAACTCAGTCCAGATCTTAGGTGTGAGAGAAAGAGGGTGAGGACAGATTCTCCTTAATCGTTCACAGAGTATATTGTAAATGCAGACAGTGGAGTCCTCAGTCTGGCAAAACTTTGTCTCTAGGCATGAAACAATAAGGAACTCAACTTGGAAGAATCACCATATGTCATTATTTTTGAGATACACTCCAAAAGCAGCATCCACCATCATATTAGAGCGTGCCAATGGGAGGCGCTGCTAACTTCTCTTTCTTCTCTTTGATTTCTGACATACATCTCTCAAAAGGCCAAAAGAGAGAGAACTTCCTTATCCCTTGACTCTATTCTTTATGCAACAGAAGCTTTAAAGGAATAAGGAAAATATAGGATTCGTAATCAATTTCCAGACAAACTTGCCTTTCCATTTTTCCATCCTTTTGATTCTATTACAAAGTATTCTCAAGACTAATTTAGACCGCCCTGAGTATGTGCAAATCTATTTCCTTTCAACTGTCATCACTGGTTCAGTACTATAGCCTAAATCAGTGATGGCGAACCTTTTAGAGACCAAGTGCCCAAAAACTGGCCCCACCCCTGCTCCACCCCCTGCCCCGCCCCTGCTCTGCCCCCCCATCCCCCACCCTGCCTGCCCACAGGACCACTCACTGCCTCTAGGGCCCGCCACAGATCGCCCAAGGAGCCCAGCAGCGTTATGGCGGCCACACCCGCTGCCCGCGCCCTGCAGCATCAACTGCATGATGGGGTGTGAGGGCAGAGTCTTGTCTACGCTGCCTGGCTGCCATGTCCCTGGCTGCGTTGCTCCGTGTGGGCCACGCTCAAGGGCGAGTCTCCTTCAGGGGGGCTGCTGGAGAGGAGGGGGTCGCGGGGGAGGCAAGGCTGGGGCAACGGCACGTGTGCCCACAGACAGGGCTCCGAGTGCTGCCTCTGGCACGCATGCCATAGGTTTGCCACCACTGGCCTAAATGATCTTGCAAGAGCAGAGCTAAATAGCTATATAAAATTGAATCAATTTTATTCTCTTTCTGTTATCAGTTTCAAAAATTGCAACTTTCTTAAAAATTTAGGTTTCCTTTTTCTGATAACTATCAAAGCCTGCACTTTTGTAGGGTATGTCTCTCAAAGAAAAAAAAAACATTCTGAATTAAGATACTAAGTCCCAAATAGGATGGATGGATGCAGGGAGGGAGGGAGAGAGGGAGGAAGGGAGATATATCTGGAAAAATTATTATGAGTAGTTGCTTAGATTATACAATACTGTGGTGTCTTTTTTTTATTAACAGTAGAGAGATAACTTTGCTCCCACGTACAATGCACTGATGTAATTTTGTCTATTTTGTCTTTAACTACTTTTGATTTTGTTGCCCCTATACTGTATTTCCAAGCATTTTTTTCAACAACCTTGGGGGAGGAAATTATATAACTGTAATCTCTTGAAATATTGGTAATCACTTTTAAGCAGAATGACGTGAGAGAGCAAGACATATTATTTCAAATATTAGTAGATAAATCTAGTTTTGTATATTGAATATACAAGTAGAAAATAAAGTTACAATCCAATGGGGCAAACAAGCACTATGGGGATTTAAAAAAAAGTTTAGTCAGCCTTTTCTTCACCAAATACAAAGTTCGATTTTATTACTATTTTTAATACAAGTGGCTGCTTCATATCCTTTCATTCTGAGGTTGGAATAATCCAGAATTGTCTCTTGTTTTCTACTCAAAAGTAATACTGCTTTACATGATGCTCGTTAAAACCTTCTTGGGATATGAATGTGAAATCAGGACTGAATCTGTTTTGCTATTTTGTTGTACAAAACGTATCAAAATTATGTAGTGTTGAAATACTAAGAAAGCCCTATCCAATCTAGAGCCATCAGATGTTGGACATTTTATATGATTTCCACTCAGCAAGATAACAGTAATGCTGGCTAGGGAGGATGGGCTACAGCAGGGGTAGGCAACTTTGGCTCTTTTATGACTCATGGACTTCAACTCCCAGAATTCCTGAGCCAGCATAGCTGGCTCAGGAATTCTGGGAGTTGAAGTCCATGAGTCATAAAAGAGCCAAGGTTGCCTACCCCTGGGCTATAGCAAAACACATCTGGAAGATACTAGGTTGGGAAAAGCTAGTGGAATTAGGACTTTTGGTTTTAATTTTGCAGAAAAGTCCACACTGAAGGAGCTTTCTCACTGTGAACATAACCCACGCAGAGGCCTCAGACACCACTGCAATCTCGCAGAAAGGAAAAAACAATCAGTTACATGGCAGCGAAATAATGGAAGACGGAAGAAAATGGGGGACCAAGGAAGTCGTTCAAACGGAAAGCATCCTGCAGAACGGCTTGGGAACTGTGAAGTGCAGAAGGCTGAACATGTTGCTCTGCATAATCTGAATATCTAGCATTGGAGGAAGCAAAAGTTATTTGCACACCTGCGAGATGACGGCATTCATACCTGACTTTCTCTTCGCATAACCGTGAAATAAACATCCCCAACGCCAGGCTCATGTGGATTTGAACAGCCTGAGACTCATCTGCATTTGGTTTCCCAGGTAACATGGCAATCAGTAAATTCAGGACTTGCTCAACCCTTTCCTTGTAGGATACAATAAAAACCGGCACCAAGAGAGACAAAGAGGTTGCTGCGCAGGAGCGAGCAATGGCACTTGCGGTATTTTCACCGGAGTAGGATTTCTAGGACACAAAAGAAAAGTCCCAAAGATTCTTAGTTTGATCCTTTTTCTGCACATAAAAGGATTCAGCACATTGCATGCCAATCTAGGAAAGCAAAAAAGAAAGATATAATAATGATTCCGACAGTGTGACTCTGCATACCTTTGCCTTTTATTCGGTAACCCCGAAGTAAGCTTTACTTGGAAGAAAACAAAAGCAAATCTATGTTGTCTAAATATATATAAATGCAAATGAAAATTATTAATTCATTTTATAACTTCACTGGAATTTCCTGAGCAGGCAGGAAAGGAGGAGGAGAAGGGAATCAACCTCAATAAAAGCTCCATGTGGAAAAGAAAAGAACGTGTAATTGTTGCGGAAACATCAAATACCAAATGCAAGGGAACTAAACACTTTAATAATCAATACACATTTCGGTGTATTTGTTTATTTTAAAGTGTATAAACACACTTAGGCTCCCCTGTCAGTTTGTAGGCACTGACAGCAGTTTATAATGATTAAACATACACTCCCAGAGGAAGAAATATCCTGAAATCTTAAAACTCAGTAACTATGATTAAGTGCCTTGCTTTCAATGGGATTTACTTCTGAATACATATCTATAGGACTGATCATCAAAATAAAAAATTATATCTTTCCCTTCAAGGCAGCATTAACACCATGGTTAAATTACATTGAGAAGCACACTTTGCATAATGAGAAAAAAAAGAAAGCAACTGGAACAACAGAACAGTGTGAAGTCAAGTGACATTTATTTCAAAGCAGTGAAATCAGTCACATTTGTAAAAAAAATTCAGAACCCATACAGTTTATAGGTGGATTTATAAAAAATACAAGGGAAGTTAAAGAAAAACAATCATGCTGAGCATTAGGGAGTTATACCTTGGAAATTATTTTAAGCACAGAAATCAGATAACTACCAAATGAACCCATTTGGGAACAACTCAAGTTTTTTCATTTCACTTAATTAACTGCATACAAAAAAAAACACAAAATAACACATAAAGTTATAGAAAGATAATAAAACAAAAGAACCTTAAAATTTTAGAAAGGAAAACATGGTATATAGAGGAGGTATTCATGGACACATATGCATTCATCAATGTTCTACATAAGCATTTCAATGACTGCTGGTCATATTTCATTATAATCACCCATAACTAATTTAGGCTGATAAGTGATTGGTTTGTAAACTGCTAACATCAATTCTGCAGACTACTCAGTAGCTGGGGCTGTATTTTATCCTCCCAGTGCTAGCTATATAAGCAAGAGAATCAACTTTCTTTGTTCAGATGTCAATTTCCATGCAATAGATAAATACTTCAAAAGAATATGAATATCTGAGATTATTAAATCTTGTCTCAACATGTAATATCTTCCTCTCCAAATGAAATGATTATAGGACACTATACAAACATACGTTTAAATAAAGCATTACTCTCACTGTATCTCCCTCAACGTGATAGTTCATTCAATCCTTTTCTATATAATTGCAATGGAGTCTAGTAAGTCTAAAATATTTTGTTGAGCAAGATATAATCTAAGATTTACTGAAGTTTTTTGGCTTTGATGTTAACACAGCTTCCCACTGTCTTCCGAGAAAATATAAATTATTAATTCATTATTCTACCTGACCATTAATATTTGCATATCAAATTTTATAAAGAATAATTGTAGCTTGTTTTGTGACACCGCTGCAATTTTGGCTTGCAGTAGATTAGATATTTCTAAGGTAGAAAATACTGCAGATCCCAGTTGAGGTGTCAACAAATATTGCATTTATAAATATTACCAGTGATTTGTACTAATTAACACAAATCAGAATTTTTTTTTCATGTTTATATATTGAGCCTAAATTTAAATCCCACCTTCTACCTTAATTTTCAATAAAATAGTTTTATATTATGAGATTTGGATTGCTCCATAGCATACATTTAACATGAGAAAAAGGATAAAACATGTCATTTCCTAGAAAGAATTACCTCAAATACCAAGTTGATATAGAGGAATTTGACATCTATTTTGATCCCAAGATAGTCCAAGTAACCAAAGTCATAATGTATGAATATTTCTAGAGTGGCCCAAGTAGGCTTTCTATTAGAAGAATTCATCCCAGATTTGATTCTAATCGAAGGCATGCACATGATTTAATTCAATGGTTGAAAAACAAATCCTATTCATCCCTCTTTAACAAACATTTGGTGCCTTTAGACAAGAAGAGTTATTATTTTGACCCACCTACCTGTTCAGCATCTACTTAACTGAAACTCATTTAGAATAGATTGTAGAACAGCAGTTTCCCCCCAACTAATGTTTCCAAATATGTTGGGCTTCAATTCCCATAATCCACAGGGCAACACAAATTTAGTTCATGTAAGAATTGTGGGAACTGATATGTAAAACATCTACAAATCAGCAGGTTGAGAAAGGCTGTCCTATCATATTTCCACCATCCACAATTGCCAAACCACTTAGATGAGTCCATAGCTCCTTAGGAAAATCTGCAATTAGTTATTTGCTGGACCTTTCACTTCTCTATAAAAGCCTCTGTACAAAAGGACAACCACCTTATTTAACTGCAAAAACATGCTGAATGTGATTATACTAGAACAGAGGAAAATGCAAGTGCCACCTCTGCTGTTCCTGTCACTCCTGTCAGTTCTAAAACTTTGTGGGGAGGCACAGCCTATGTCAGACATGTCAAACACAAGGCCCGGGGGCCGGATGCGGCCCGCGATGTGGTTTCATGTGGCCCGCGAAGCCATCCTGGAAACAATGAGGGAACAGCCTCCGCTGCCTTGGCCCTGGCCCAGGCCAGCTGGGAGCCAATGTACAATTTTGTGGTGGCCATCTATGCTGAAACCACTCAGTCTTAGCTCCACAAGGCCGTCTGGAAACAGCAAGGGACCGGCCCTGCCGCGTCGGCCCCGCCCCCTGGGTGCATGCTGGGGAGGTGTCACCCTTTGTGAGGAATGAAGAAATGCACCATTGCCTGGAAGTGGCCAGCAAATGGCCCTCGCCTACTTCACATATCCAGCTTGATGAGCTCCGGGGAAGGGGTTTCAGCAGGCTCTTCCAGTGGACTATGCCTTGGCGCTTGCCCTGGTCCCACCCCCTTCTGCCAGAGACCCTCAGATCTGTCCCACTCCTGCCAGGCCCCCACAGGCACCCTTGACGCGAATGATGTAGAACTGGCCACGCCACCCAATAGGCCACACCCGCTCCAGCCACACCCACCCAGTAGGCCACGCCCACCCTGGCCACACCTACCCGCCCCCCTGAGGACAACCGTAATGCTGATGCGGGCCTCAATGAAATTGAGTTTGACACCCCTGGCCTATGTGCATAATGTACACGGGGAGTTTTATTAAAAAGAACTACAGAAGCAGCGGAAGGGAGAGGAGAGAGGGAGACTAAGCGACCAGAGCCAAAAGCAGAAAAACCAACTGCAAATCTGCTTTTGCATGTAAATCTTCATGTCCATTCCATCTCCCATCAATCAGAAGAATCAGATCCTGGGGGAAAACATCGGGTTGTTGAAGCTATATGAATGGTCACCTCCTATAAGATGAATGGGTTCTGCAGTGCAGGTTTTGGCTTAGGGTCCCTTTGAGTGCCCATTCATTCTAAAGAAGTAGCTTATTAGTAATTTACACTTAATTGGAGATATATTACTAAAACCATTCTATGACACTACACACGAAAATTTAACATTTTTAGTTTCATTTGACTGACATATGGTAACTGACAACGGTCCCTTTGGTTTGGTTCTTTCTCTCACCCACATGTTGCATCATTCCTTGAGCACAGCCATTTGTAACAAGATAGTCTCTTTCACAGCACGGAAGAAGTGATATCAAAGATTCCAAAGAAAGGGGTGGAGATTAACATTGAGATACCATTTTCAGAGTGATAATTTCAGTGTTGCCAGCCATGTATACTTTTTTCCTTAGAGTGCACTAACTTACAAAATTGAAAGACTGCATGCTGTTCAAGCTTTGTTATCAACCATTTTGAACCTTCCTAATGCTATTCTACTCATCCCATTCATTCAGACTCCTCCTCACTTCACTAAAACATCATTTTAAAGCTGCACTATGCTTATGCTCCAAAAAAGCTACGCCTTTTCTGTCTATAATTGACCAAAATGAGATACAACCTTTTAATCTTTTATTTCTTCAGCAGTGATGAATCGGTAGCCACTATCTATGACAAAGACAGCCCATCTTTCAGTGGTCAGGAGCCACAGATTAGAAGATAATGATCATAGTCAGCATGGAATTGAGATAATAATATCACAAAAGTTGATTGTGGTAGGATTTTGAGAAGATTCCAGGCCTGATTCTTTTTTTGTAGGGTAAAGCTTAAAAGAAGGGTATATATGTAACTATATATAGCTATAATTATAACAACTATAACTATATACATATACATACACACACACACACATATATATATATAACTATAACAACTATAATGATGTAAGTGTGTATAAACTAAAATAATAAAATTAATATTAAAATGAATTAAAAAAAACTAATGCATAGACAGAGCCGAGGTGAGTTCTTGTACTAGTCTACTAGCCACCTCCAAAATGGTATGTGCCCATTGGGGCCCCAAGCCAGTTGGCAAAGCCTACTGGGTGGGTGTGGCTGGAGCGGGTGTGGCCTATTGGGTGGGCGTGGCCAGTTCTACATCATTCACGTCAAGGGTGCCTGTGGGGGCCTGGCAGGAGTGGGACAGATCTGAGGGTCTCTGGCTCTTTCAGAAGGCCATGAAGTTAGGGCAGATCTCAACTTGGAGGAAATATTTCAAAGGTGGGAGAAAAGAATTTTCTCCTGGACCCTGCCAGCTGCAATTCCTTGGCCAATGGGATCTGGAGCATGTCCCTTCCGCCAGAGCAAATGGCAGACCAATCCCATTGGGTTGAAACAGTTCCTCAGGTAAACTGGACCTATGTCATCTAGGGCTTTAAAGGTGATAACCAACACCTGGAGTTATACCTGGAAGCAAAGCGGCAGCTTGCACAACAGTGGTGTAACATGGGCCACCTCAGGACCCTTAAGACTGTTTGCACTGCTGCATTTTGTGCCAGTTGTAGCTTCCAAGTGCTCTTCAAGGGTAGTCTCACATAGAGTGCATTGCAGTAGTCCAGTGGTGGGATTCAAATATGTGAACAACCGGTTCTCTGTGTGGATGCCACTTCCGGAAGTCCATTCTAGGCCAGGGCAACAAAAAATTAGCTACCGGTTCTGCCGAAGTGGTGTGAACTGGCTGAATCCCACCACTGCAGTAGTCCATGTGCAAGATGACCAGGGCATGAGTGACTAAATGCACGGCCTCACAATCTGGGAAAGGGCACAACTGGTGCACAATCTGACGTTGTGCATTGTGCAAAGGCTCTCCTAGCCATGATCACCAACTGGTCTTTAAGCAGGAGTTGTGAGTCCAGGAGGATGGCCAGACTTCACACAGATTTTGTCTGGGAAAGTGCAATCCCATCAAAAACTAAAGATGTTAAGCTCCAGGATCCTGAAGCTGTATGTACCCAAAGCCACTTGGTTTTACCAGAATTCAGCTGATTTCTGATTGCTTTTTGATGCCACTGACAGATCTACACTGAAGGCATATCTACGATTAGAGAATAAGAATAGATTCCATGTGTAATTTCAAATGTAAGTTATTCTAAAAGCCTAGATGAACAAAGTAAAATCCAAATCATTTTCTTTCCCCAGTACAATAAAGCAGGGGTCCCCAACCTCCGGGCTGCTCCATTTGTGTGAGTGGTAGGCCCTTGCGCTGGAAACTCCATTTGTGCGAGCGGCGGGCACGTGCACCCGCCTCTTGTGTAAATGGGGCTGCGCGTACCCGTTGCTTCCCAGAACCCTCCCCTCTTCCCCTCTCCTCCGGTTCGCAAAGCTAGAAAGGTTGGAGACCCCTGCAAAAAAGTACAATTGTCATAATGATTCTTCTGCTAAAATCTCCTTTGACCTACCTGATAAAACCAAGGGAAGATTCGCCCCTTGGGGCAATAGTGACTGTCTACAATGCTAAGGAGGGTATCGATCACCATGGAAAGCCAGTGTTTTGTTGGAAGAAAGTCTGGTTCAGTCTGCAGAAAACAAAAGCACTGAAAATTATCTAAAAACTTTTTTTTTTAAATCTAGTTATTTAAATTATGTAATAATTTTATGAACTGACCAACAATAGAACACTAGGCATCGTTATCAAAAATATTCCCGAATTAGTATGTATATGTACATATACACATAGAGACTGAATGACATTCAAAAATATATATAAACACAAAAGTACTGCTCAAAAAGAATCGGAGTACAATTCTAATTTTATTACTGTAGCAAGTAATTTTCATAGCGGCCAAACAAATATGGGAATGCAATTTTAAATGAGCAATTTATATAGATTTTTATCATTGTTTTTCTTCTCGTGGACATGAACTACTCATGTTTTCAGTGATATTTTAAGCAACTGAATATAAAACTCATGTACCTGATTGTGCCTTATACTAACTAGAACTTCATGGTCAGTTATTAATGTTTACATATACAGTATTTGTTTTACAGTTAAAGCAATCAAGTCATTTTAACTCACATCAAATTGTTCTTCAATGTCTGAAGTAAGTTCTTTTTCATGCTTTGCAACAGCAAGTGCCAGTCCTGTTAATGCTAGAAGACAATTCCCTTTAACCACTGGGCTTTCCCTGTTGAAAATCATGTATCAGTTTGTCAATGAAATAAAGGAAAAAATAAAGGAAGGAAAATGAGGTTAGAGAAATGGAATGGAAAAGTCATCCCTTTTTGACAATATGGTAACTTCTAAAACTTTTAAGATCTACAAATTTTAGGATTACCACCCAGCATATATAATGGTTGAATTCTGAAAGTATGTTAATACCCACAATAAAGATAATAGAGAAATTACCTTATATTTGGTTAGTGATAAGAACCAAAATATTAATTTGTGTGTTTGTGTGTGTGAGAGAAAGTTAATAAAACCTATGAAAGCAACTTTGTTTTGCAGTTGTATGATGGGATAGTGTTTTTTTAGTAAGATTTTCTTTTAAACAACCTTCAATCAAATAGTGCTTCTTAAGGAAAGCTTATCATGAAAGGGATGTAATAATAATATTTGTTTAAAGTAGATTGTCCCACTTCAATAATAACAACAACAAAAACAGACACATAATACCCTGGACTTAACAACTGTCAATAAGAAAGACAAAAAAAGTCTGAATAGTGGATGTGGCAGTGCCTGGAGACAGCAGAATAGAAGGGAAAGAACTGGAGAAAATAACAAAATACGAAGAACTACAAATAAAAATAAAATGACTGTGGCAAAGGCAAGCAAGGGTACCAATAGTAATATGTGCCTTGGGTGCAATCCCTAAACAACTGGAACATCACTTGAACACCATTGGCATTGATAAATTCACCATCAGTCAATTGCAAAAAATGGCTTTACTGGGAACAGCTTCCATCCTGTGATGATATCTGTAACACCATTAAATATCCACATCTGCCTATCCTAGATCCTTGGTAAGGACTGCCAAACCCAGTCTGAACATCTGGCTGACTGTGCAATTAATAAAAATAATAATAATAACAACAACAATAATAATAATATCACAGCCTATATTTATTAAGAAGCAAAGATCTTACTTGGAAGATCCTTTGACTGCATCAGTTAGCATATCTCTAACCCTGTTAAAAAAGAGAAACAAGAAAGTAAAGAATGTGCTATAGAATAAGACAGTTTTAACTGTGTGTGTGTGGTAGGGGTGGGGGTGGGGTGGAGTATCTGTCAGGTAGCATCCTAAAGAGTCTGAGTTGGGTAGCAAGCAAAATATGGGGGAGACTAGAGATGGAAGAATCATAATTGGTTGTAAAATCATCCCCCAGCTAAGATCCTGTTCCAGGCAATCTCTAAAAAATGATGTGCACTCCTGCTAGTGTGCATCAATTGAAATTCTGTTGCTGAATTGCACGCAGAACTGCTCAAATACTGAGCTGATAAATGTAGTTTTCTAGAAGAGGTGGTAATCCACCAAAGAGAGATCAGTATGGATCCCTAAAGTATTTATAGAACAGAATGAAAACAATAGATTGAGATTTATAACTTTTGCAGCGATAGGGAAACCTATTTTTTTGCAGTGTTTGCAGATTTCTTGGAGGTTATGAATATTCCAGTCATTAGAACTGGTTGATTTGTTGAAGCATTGATGTATTTGTAGAATAAGAAGATAGTTGATATGTGTAGACGCCTGAGCAACCTCTCTCACTGTTTCACTTCAGATTATTTTATCACAATTTTATATCAGTATAAAATGATAACTATTCTTTCGACCATATTACGTTGAGTAGCCACAGAGGCTACAGTAGCCACAGAGGCTACATTCTGTTAGGCAAACTTAAAGAAATTCTATTTATTAAAACGTTCCTCACATAATCTCTATTCATAATAAACCAATTCTCGCTAGCAAGCAAATGTTTATTTTAATTATCTTCTGCTTTGTCTCTAGAGACAAATTAATCTTTTTAAATTTATTTTTTATACAGGAACATAAGAATATTAGAAGAAAGTTTATCATAATCAAAACTTCATTTATCGCTTGTGCAATAAATCAAGCATGTATAGAACACCCACAGTTCAACAATGAGGTGTGGTCTTCTTTGAGGCTAGATAACTGCCTTTATTGTTAAGATAAACTTCAGATTCCAAAACTTGAATCTGAAAATCTTGGACTACATACAATTTTCCACTTCACAACTGAATTTCTAGTTTTATTCTATTTCATGTTTAGAGGCACAGTTGACATTACCTTGAAAATAATCTACCAAATATGAGGTTTTGGGCTATGTTTTTAGCAACATTTAGATTGCTATGTAGTAAGGAAACAAGACTAATAATGTTGGATAAATATTAAATTTATGTATTTAATATACATATATTTCTATATTGCAATCACAACCAGGCAAATTTTTACACTGAGTCCATATATTCAGATATACTGAACATAAGAAACTGAAGTATGGTCACTGATTATTACAACAAAGTCATGCATTTAAATGCTAAGTGCTTTTCCTACATGCATCCAATTACTGAACGCTCAGAAAGAAATGTCAGAATGATGTAAGCAACTTGTTCTGGGACATGCTGCCAATTCCGTCATCAAAATTCTTCATACAGAAAAGAAGAGCTACTGGTGAAAAACAATTTTTCGTGATTACACCTTGTATTTGCCATTTCTCTGCAAGATCATTTCTGGCTTTTATCATTAACACTTTTAAGGTTTGTAAAACTTACAGCTTTGAATCCTTTAAATTATCCCACTTGATTCTTTCCCTATTACCCCACCACTTTTCTAGCTGACAAGGAATAGATAGTCATTGCCTTACCAGAGCCAGGCTGTAAATTGCTTGTATTGCACTTGCTCTAGTTCCTCTTTTCCATGCTTTAACTGCATCTCCAATTCAGCTTGCCTCCCCTGTGTAACCATAACAAAAATCAGCAGGGGTACTTACATAGGTAGCAATCCAGAGATTTCTACAGGGAACACTTACATAACAGACGTAACCTTTCCCCTGAGCGCTATTCCACAGTTAAATCCAAATGCTCTTTATGAATCTTTTCTGCATAATAAACCATGTGATGGAATCTGAAATCTTAGGTTTGAATAATGAAGATGCATCTCTTCAAGAGGCCCAGATATTCTCATTACTTTCATTAATGATTGCAACTCTTGGGAGAGTTCTCTAAAATGTAGTGTACATCTAGACAGGTCAGTGTGCTTTGATGCTATAATTTGGGAAAAGTTCCTTGGGGCTTTATTACTAAACAACCATAGCATTCAGTTTAAATATCTTGCTGATATTTATCACAAGGGTGTCCAGGAGATGTGATTCTAATATTTAGAAGGAAGTTTCTTAATTTCCTAATTGTAGGGAAATGGAAAGAGATTATTTCTTGGAATACTCTGTAAATTCTGCTGTGATCTAAAGATTAGAAAAAAGCATATGCAATACTGAATCTTTGTGAGAAAGTATACTAAAGTAAGTAACTTTCCTAGTTATTTGTCACGTTTGGTATGTTCAAAATATAATTTTTAGTAACATGGATAAATAATAATGATAAAATTCTTTAAAGTTCTGTTTGTGAAAGAAGATTTTCTTCATTAATTGAGATCGGCAATTATTTCTTCATTCTAATGATATGCATAGAGTTTACTCTAATCTTTTGAAGTCATACACACACACACACAAACTCACACAAATTTAACAGCTATTACGTTCTTGTAGTTCATGGCTGAACCACAACCTAATAGACAGCCTTGTTCATTCAGGTCTAGTTAAGTGAAAAGTTAAACACAGATTCAAAAAGAATTAAATTACTTGTGTTCCCTCATGGTTAGCAACCCCAAATTATGTGAGAAAGAAATTAAGTTAGAACTAAAAGAATAGATTCTACTCTTAGGTTCTTTAACTATGTTGCAATGTCGATCTTAATAAAATAAATAAATGTTAGAAAAATTCCAAAAGAGGCCTTTAAAAAAACACATGCAATGTTCTCTTTTAGTACAGTAAATGTTCTATAGATTATGACTTCAATTCATAACAATCCTACACTTTTTTAAAAGGTACGGATCAACTGTACAATTCTTTCCATTTTACAAGTTGCAATTACACGTTTTTTTCATGATTTACTGTCCACATTACTGCAGTACTGCAATATTGTTTTTGTACAATTTTTTAAAAAAATAAATGCAAAGATATTTTAAAAGACATGTTGGAAACAGGTTAGATTTATAAGGTGACATTTTTATATGCAACTTTTCCTAATTTTAGACTCCCCAAGAGCCATTTTTTAAAAAAAACATCCATCACCTTTTTCTGGTTCTCAAATGTTTACATAACTACGATGCAGGATTTTAGAATGGAAATTTCCGTGATGTAAGTTATTTCTTTAAAAAAAATAATAACAGTAAACATTAAACAAAATCCTAGAATTAGAAAGCTGGATGCTAGTGGACTTTTTGCAGTGCTATAAAGAACAAATGTACTAGCAGAATTTATTGAAATTATTCTATATTCCTAACAAACACAGAATTTTATTCAGTGTCACATAATACTTCATTTACTTCCTCTTGTTCTTCCCCGGCATTACACAGTACCTGAAGCAAATCTGCTCCAGATCTCCCAAAACTATCTAATAATAATAATAATAATAATAATNATATGTTTTAGCCTCCAGTCCCCTAATCATCTTTGTTGCTCTTCTCTGTACTCTTTCTAGAGTCTCAACATCTTTTTTACATCGTGGTGACCAAAACTGGATGCAGTATTCCAAGTGTGGCCTTACCAAGGCATTGTATGTACATAACATTGAAAATCTGTTTCATTAGTGATTTGCCATCTACACAGTCAGTGTTCGATACAACCCCATATTAGGTAAAGGTTTTCCCTGTCCAGTCATTTCTGACTCTAGGGGGCAAGGCTCATCTCTGCTTCTTAGCTGAGGGAGCCAGTGTTGTCTAAAGACTTTTACGTGGTCATGTGGCCTGCATGACTATATGCCGAGGCACACAGAATGCAGTTACCTTCCCACCGAAGTGGTACCTATCTCTCTACTTGCATTTGCCTGCTTTTGAACTGCTAGATGGGAAGGAGCTGGGACAAGTAACCGGAGCTCCCCCTACCATGTGGCGCTTGGGTCTTGTATTAGCTATCTTAAATTTCACTGAAATCAATAGGATTGATTTAATCAAAAATCAGTGTGGATTGAACCCTAACCTATGGCACTGAGATAGGAATCCATTTGGCCGGTTCTTCGGTGAGCTGGCAGGAACAGGTAACTTTCATTAAATTTACACGCTGAAAATTAATGTTATTTCTCCATTTTAAATCCAGAGCGTGGTATGCCGTTATAATAAACACCACTTTATTTACTTACTTCATTTTATATGTTATTCCTTGAGTTTATGTATCATTCCAATTCAGAACATATCTTTCAGAAACCCTACCTTATTGGATGTTTAATTTTTTTATGACACTATTTTGAGATAAGCCAAATCTTCCAGATCTCATTGGACAGGCAGAAGCAATTAGAGGTAGTCAGTCCCAAATATATCAGATCTTAAACTTGGAGGGTATATGGATGTTACATGGCTGTGGGTCATTTTATGAAATCCCTCAAACTGTATTCTCAGAATTTTAAAAAATATCCTAGGCCATGTTTTTCAACCTAAGCAAATTTAAGATGTATGGATTTCAACTTCCCAGGAGGCTGGTTGGGGAATTCTGGAGTTGAAGTCCACATATTTTAAAGATGCCAAGGTTGAGAAACACTATCATAGACATTTATACTCATATCGTATCTTAAGGAGACATTTTAAACCCATCTTTCCCTAATGTTAAACTTAGACTTCTCAAGAGCCCAATGTAACTGAAAACTCTGAATGCATCAGGCATACTTGCTTACTTATGTATTTACACAAAAAAATTATCCCACTATGGAGGAAAACATAATATCCATTGATATACTGTATAGGCTATATCTCATACTTGTAAAATTGCATGGTATGTTCTCTCCATAAATCCAGCCCAGGAATGAGGCAGCAACAAGGAGTGATGCCACTCTGAAGGCTGAATGTTAACCTGCATGTCAAAGAAAAGAATATTATAAATTGAACAAAAATATGCAGTTACAAAGTAACACACACAAACACACACACACAAACACTCAAATTTACACTGGCTCGCTGCCATTATCAGATATCTTACTTCTTTGTATCAGGTACCAGTTTTGAAGTTTTTATAAATAAAAACACTCATACTTTTATATTTCCTTCTGGTTATTCAGTTTTACAGATTTTTCATGCAGAGACTGTAATTCAAAAGACAATACAACTTGTCCTGAAAGCCTCATTAGTCTTATCTGATGGGAAATTGCTTTTCCTTCTTCTACTAAACATTTAGGGAATTGCTAAGTGAATAAATAAACAAAGTAATGCACTTTGAGAAAGCTTTCAAATGCAGTTTGTGTAGCAAAATAGACATCTGGTTGAAAATTTCATAATACAAAAAAAAATTCTGAGGTACTATAAGGACTTGTAAACGACAAGTAAATTTGGTTTTTAAATCCATACTACACTAATTGCACTGTATTAATAAATTACTGAATATTTTACAATAGAATCTTAATCATATAGAAAAATTATCGATATATAGGAATGGAAAACTTTTATTACCTCCATCTACTTTGGCTAAGTATCATTTAAGATATAACATAAGCACAGTCGGGGTTTTTTTTTTTTTTTAAGAAACTAATAGCACAACTCCACATTTCTTTGTAAAATAGTTTTACTACAGCAAATTGCCTGGGATCATTTCTGTTTGTTCTGGGACTTCAAAGCTCCCTGCTTTTTTTTTTTTAAAGAGCACTGTAATTAAAATGATTGTGGTGCATTGTTATGTCTCATAATATTGTATGGCAGGCAAAAGAATCGTTTTTTTGTTTCCTGTGTCCAATTATTTTTAATATGGCCTCAACCAAAAACATTGGTAGTTGTCGTGACAGGCATTTGAAGCCTATTAAACACAAGTTGTGAGAACTTGGCAGTTTTCAGGTCACCAAAAATTCAGGACATAATGCTGACTACTATATAACAGATACCCAGATACATCTTGGTGTACAAACATATACATATTGATTTGTTTCACCAATATGTAGGAACTAAATTTTGCCACTCCCCACTTCCATTTTTTTCCTACAAAAATCATTTTGTGAAACTATTCAGAGATAAAACGATTGATCCAACACCATTCAGCTTCCTGGTTGTGTGCATCTGCACTAGGAGCTCACCAATCCAGGTCCAATGTACAGAAACCAACTTGGATTATAATACACTTTTTTCAATATTTTTTATAAAAACAGTAGAATGATTTACTTAAAACAAAACTCAACTTCAATTTTATATTCAACCCAGCTTCTTTATGTTTAACCCAGTTTCTTTCATTTCTTTCTTTCTTTCAATGACAGTGCTTAAAAGGCAGTAACAGATTATTAGGGTAATTTGAATAATAAGAAATATTAGAAATAAAGTAGTACCATTCTAACAAGAATAATAGACGTTCTAAATCTTAAAAACCAAGAAACACCGAGGAGAGCAGACACTTCACAACTACCTGCTGAAGAATGAAATTAATTACAGCTGAGGCACATCCATACAATAATTGGGCTACAGACATAGATAAAACTTTGACCTTGATTCCTATGTCCCAAGATTCTTTTGGTACAAAAAAAGTGGCAATCCTTCAGAATTTGTCTTTCTATGTAAACAACAAGCATCTTAAACTATGCTCAGTAAAAAAAAAAACTTGGAAGTTTGTGCAATTGATTTAGTAATGTTAAAAAAACACACCCCAAAGTAGCTTAAATATTCTGCACCACTCGTAGTGCCTGCACACTTTTCTACATTAACCCCAGTGTAAAGTACTGTATGTTGCAATGATCAGCTTCTCTAGGATTCATTCTCATCATCTTAGCCTACATGCAATCTATTACTTTCCACAGACTCCTTGGCATCATTTGAAAATGGAACAAAGAGCTAGCCATCATTGGCATAATCTCAATTCTCTGAATGTCTTATCAGCTGTTTCATGAAAATCAGCGACCAGATGCTGGCTGGAAATGATGGAGTTCTTATCAACACATTTAAAGAGGAACAGATTGGGGAAGCTAGATGTAGCTATTAAAGAGAGAAAAGGATTAAAAAATAGAGCCATATAAAGTTCCATAATTCTATCATCAAAGTTTGAATTATCCTAGATTGGTTTTCTGTAATATTTATCAAGGTAAGATGAGACTCATTGCAAGATAATATTTTAAATGCCATATTATCTTTGGGAATGTTTGTATAGTTCTGTTTCATCCAATGACACGTAGTCCTCGACTTACAACAGGTCATTTAGTGACTGTTCGAAGTTACAACGGCACTGAAAAAAAGTGGCTTATGACCATTTTTCACACTTATGACCATTGCAGCATCTCCAGGATCGTGTGATCAAAATTCAGACACTTGGCAACTGACTCATATTTATGACAGTTGCGGTGTCCCGGGGTCATGCGACCTTTTGACAAACGAAGTCAATGGGGAAGGCAGACTTACTTAACCACCATGTTACTAACTTAAAAACTGCAGTAATTCACTTAACAACTCTGGCCAGAAAGGTCATAAAATGGGGCAAAACTCACTTAACAAATACCTCACTTAGCAACAGAAATTTTGGGCTCAATTATGGTCAGTACCTGTAGTCACAAGAAATAGCTTCAAAGTTTTCACTTCTGTTTTAGATGATCAGAATTAGTTTCTTCTCCAAACCTTGGCAAACTGTAATTAATCTTGGCTAATAAGAGGAAATGTATGCGTCTAATCACGTGACATTGGTACAGAAGGATTCTGCTGATGGATCGCTTGTCTCCCAGTGGAACTTGTGAAGGTATCCCTGATTTTTTCTCTGATTTCTCTCAAAAGCTGTGTTCTAAGCATTTTCTACATCACTGTCACATTCTTGTCATCTGGAATAGTTAAGGATGTCATAGCAACCACGGGCCTCTCAATTAATGTGACAAGATATACTCATGACCTATTATTTGCTGGGAAAGATGAAAGTGATCTACAAAAAGGCAGAACGAGAAGTTCAAAAGAACCGCTTTATTGATGGATCACTACTCATAAACGTTGCACAGGAATGGAAAAGGGGTTATTAACATGGCCTTTGAAAATTATTAGATTCTCCTGCCACAAGCCATGGTGATCTTGATGAAAATCTGGTTGATCTGTGGAACAGGGATACGGCAACAGTTGACAGCAGTTGACATAATCACTCCCAAGCACCCTCTCATACTGCATGAAATCCAGGTTTTGATTTTGTGGGGAGCTGACAGCAGTGTTTGAGTAGATAATTAGTGTAACAATGGAAAAGGACTTAGCATTAAGCCAGTAAAGGATCAAAGGATGGTCCACACATTTATTACATATTGTTTGGATTACTGAGCTCTAAGGGATTGAGTTGTTTAGTTTAGAATGTTAGCAACTTTATCTGGGTCAGGATGCAAATGTGGACAGCTATGTTCACATTATTCACGTTCATATTTTTGAGAAGGAACAACAACAAAAATAGACAGCACCATGGAGAGCTCCAATATGGGAAGGGGACAGGGAAGGGGGGAGCTATTGAAAGCCAGAAAATTACATGTGGATTTCCTTTCACTGAATCTTATATACGATTTTGGCTTTTATTTGGTTTTATCACATCCTAAACAGGACCTTATCTTGATCAGTACTAAAGTGACTTTGGTACAATGAAGATTTTAATATTTGAGAGAGTGGTGATGTGTCTCCCTCAAGACCACAATTGGAATTAGTCTCAGGGTGGTGCTGTTTCCCTCCCCCCCCCTTCCCCCTAAGAAGGAGGTTTTGAGCTAGTTCAGACTCAAAGAGATGCTTCTGAAGCCAAATCCTCTTACTGGTCAGAAAGACTGAATCAATAATGTCTTGTTTTAAGAAAAGGAATTAGATTTCTGGATCAAGACATACATCTATCATTAGAACAAGTGAATAAAGTAAAGTAACATCATGGAGGAGGCACTGGTATAACTGTAATATTTTGCAAAACGTTTTCCTGATAAAAATAAACAACTAATAATAAATAAAATACTAAGGAATTGAACTATAAATGAGGGGGGGGACCTAAGTTTTGTTTCACTCTCTGCCCTTATCAGATGGAAGCAACCAGAACTATTTGTGAAACCCCTCAGGCTGTAACTTCTGCGGAGATTCAGAGAGGCAGCCTGCATGACAGCTCTTCGTTCTTTGCCACAGCATTGACTCCACTTTTCCCAGAGCCATTTTCAGGCCACCATTTTTTTTTGTCCAGAAGTCACAATCTTTGCTAAGTTCTAAAGCAGTGATATAACAAACTTCTTGGGTTGTTGTTGTTGTTGTTGTTTGGATCCTTTCTAATCTGAGTTCAGTTCTGATTTGGAGACAGAAACAATCTTGAACCTCTTGGTAAGGTAATTAATGTTGAGCATAAAACAGGTATTACTACTTGTTCTGGAACCTTTTATCTATGGCATTGTTCATTGTATCTTTCGGCCAAAGGAGGTATTACATAGTATTGACCAAAAGCATATTCAAATTTTACACCTGCTATGTTCAATGTTTTCTTATTCTGAATCTGTAAGCAACTACATACAAATAGTGAGCACTGTATGTGTTCAAATTTGCAGAAAGATGGCATGTTTGACTTTCTACCGTGAAGCTGACTGGGTCAGCTTCTGTTTACCAGGGGTGTCTTAACTTTTGCACACAACTATAAATATCGACCCCGGTACCAACTACTTTACGACAAGTTAGAACTCAGGTGTCTCTTAATCAAACTCTCACTGAGAGGACAGAAACTACTCAAAATGATGATTTGTAACTGCTGAAACATATTAAGATAATTGTTGGTTTGTCTAAGCTACAGAGGAGGGTTCTTTGAAGACCCTTTCAAGGCACCCCTAATTGGAATAGTTGACCAAAAAATATACTGATATTGGAATATTCTTTTCTAAGGAGCACTGCCACAACTTATTTACCAAACAATAA